CCAACCTCCAGGCCCCTGCACACTGGGAAGCTCGCGGCCATCCGCACTCCCAGCTACCCCCCGCCCCCCCTTCTCCCCGCTCCTCCCGCTCCGTTGTCCCAGAAGAGAGTTTTTATGAGTCTGAGTCAAACTCTTACCCTGCGGGGCACAGCACTCACCATTCACATCACAGGAGATGCTACCGGGGACGGACAATGAGGAGGGCTGCTGGTTGGGTTGTGTAGCCTCACGCCCCAGGGCGGGGGGGGCAGGGGGGCCCTGAGGTCTCTGGGGTGGGAAACTGCTCTGACATTTCAGGGGTTTGTTATCTTAAATGCACAGATACCCCAGCAGTAAAGGCCGGCTCACCCAGGACATTCCCGGCGCCGCCCGAACCCGGGGTTTCCCAGGAGAGCCCTCCACCCGTTAGGGGAGCGGGACTGAGCAGCCACTGCCTGGAGCGGAGCCGGCTCAAAGCTGCTGGGGTGTCACTGCTTCCCAGGTCCTGGCAGGGGACAGAGCTACCTCCTGAAAGCACCGAATACCTCACCCCCAGCCATGCCTCCTCCTCCTCTGCCCTCATCCCAGATCTCTATTTGCCGAATTGTATGAAATTGTCACTATTCAACCACTGTCTTTTTTTATATCATATATTTTGATTGATTTCAGAGAGGAAGGGAGAGGGAGAGATAAAAACACCAATGATGAAAGAGAATCTTTGATCAGCTGCCTCCTGCACGCCCCCTACTGGGAATCGAGCCTGCAACACAGGCCTGTGCCCTTGACCGGAATCAAGCCTGGCGCTCTATCCATTGAGCCGCACTGGCCGGGGCGAGATCACACGATTGTTAAAGTTGGGAAACATCGATCGGCCGCCTCCTGCACGGGCCCCCCCAGGGAGCGAACCTGAAACCTGGGTCTGTGCCCTGACGGGGAATGGAACCGGCCGCCTGAGGTTGCACTGGATGGACCAGCGACACTCCAACCCACCAAGCCACCCCGGCCGGGCGGGAGGCCACAGGGCTGATCTCACGAAATGAGTGTCCAAGTTGTTACCCCAACCGAGGGCAGAGCCACCACCGCCCCGGACCGAGGCCCCTGCTCAGCACGCGTGTCCTCCTCCTCCGAGTGGACGGCGACACCCAGGGGGACGCTCGGGCTCAGCACAGTCGCCGCCCGCCCTGTGAGCCGCTCCGAAGGCAGCGGGGCCTGGAGGGCCGGCCGGACGGCCACCTCCCTCCCTCCTCCCGGGGAGAGCTGACAGCTGTTCCCAGGGTCTGCTTTGAATTACAACGTGGCGTGGCCCTTTAAGAGCAGCATCCGCGCCCCGCGGCCTGCCGCCCCCTTTGAAGTCGCTGGCGCTGACAGGTTCCCAGGGGCAGATCTGAGGGTTCGGTTCTGCCTCCCCAGAGGCCACGTGCGGATCACAGGGCGGGAGGGAGGGTGGGCCGAAGGTCACATGGCGGGCTGGCCACGCTGGCCGGCAGCCGCTGCAGCGGGCGCTGGGGACCAGCCGCCGCACAGATGGGGACCAGCCGGCCTGGAGCTCGTTAGGCGGCAGCCGAGCCAGCAGCTGGGAGCTGAGGAGGCGCTGACACAGCCCCCCGGGCGGGCCACCGACCTTCCCGCGCCCTTCCCCTTCCTCACCTGTGCGTGACCAGCAAGCACATCTGGCACCTGGGGATGCCCCAGGACACCCCAGAGGCCCCTCCCCTCCACGTGCAGGAAGGCCCTCCTGTCCCCAGCCGCTCCTCCCAGCTCGGCAATGTGGCCAGTCCCGGGGCGGGGGGGGGGGGGGGGGGGGACCTCAGGTTGGCGGCAGGAGGACCCTGCAGCTTGGGGATGGGGAGGGCGGGGTGGGCAGGGGTGCTGAGAGCAGGGCCGGTCCTGCCTATTAACTAGTGAGGTCTAGGGCCCCCAGGGGGTGAGCATGAGGCCAAAAAACTCACCCCCGGCCCTCTGTGCCCTGGCTGGGGGGGGGTCACAGCAGAGTGACTGCAGCATCTAGGACTCCGCTTCTTTTTATCATTATTTATTTTTTAACTACTTTTTATTGATGTCAGAGAGGAAGGGAGGGGGAGAGAGAAACATCCATGATGAGAGAGAGTCATGACCGGCTGCCTCCTGCACCCCCCACTGGGGATGGAGCCCACAGCCCGGGCCTGTGCCCCGACCGGGAATGAACCCTGACCTCCTGGTTCCTAGGTGGACGCTCAGCCCCTGAGCCGGGCCGGCCCGGCATAGGACTCAGCTTCTCCCCACAGCCCTGGGGCGCTGACTCCCAGGTGCCCTCAGCCTCCAGGCAAGGGGTGTGTGTGGTCCCTGCTGCCAGGTGGGCCCAGGCTGCTCATGCCAGGCCTGTAAACAGCCATCAGGTCCCCAGGACAGGCCACCCCCCTGCATTAGGCCGAGGAGCCGACCCAGTGGCCCCAGCTCCCCGCCCTGGGCGGCTCCAGGTGAGGGACTTTGCTCACCAAGGTCCGGGCCACGAGGCCGAGGGGATCCTACTGAGGGGGGCTCTGGGGAACAAAGGGGGTGCCAACCCTGTGATGGCAAGTCTGACCTTGAGGCCCCTCCTGGCTCGGAGCTGGAGCTGGAGCTGGGCTCTCGGCTGGCTGGCAAGGGAGAGGTGCCTCCCTGGGGTGTGCCTCCCGGGGTGGCCGCCCCCTCCCCTGCCCTCTTTTGCGGCAGCAGCTGGGGCTCAGAGCCGCCCAGGTGGCTGTGCGAGGCGGGCGGCAGAGGCAGAGGCAACAGCTGGGGCCCAGACAACCCGCAGCAGCTGGAGCACAGAGCCGCCTGCCCTGGGGCTTAGGGCGCTCCCGGGGCCCAGGAGGGAGCCGGCCCTGTGGCAGGGGGCAGGCCCGTCCCGTCCAGGACCTTGGGTCTGGAGCTGCTGGACATCACGATGCTCTGAAGGCCAGGGATGGGTCTGTCGGAGTCGGAGCCGGGTTCCAGGTGGGCCCCCTGTGCACTGACCACCCTCCACACCCTCCTCCCTCTCCCCCAGAACCCCCCGGGCCACCCTGGGCCCCGCGTCGGCCCCCACTCGAGCCCTAGCTCTTGGTTCCTGAAATGGTCCATCTCTGGCACCCTCTTCCGGGGAATCGGGCAAGTGTCAGGAGGCCCGCACTCCGTGGGTTACCTCTGTGCTCGCCGGGGACCCGGGCTCCCTCCCCCTCGGCTTCTTCCCCTGAGGAGCAGCCCCGCACTCTAGTCCGAGGCCCAGGCTGCCCCTCCTACGGAGGCAGGTCCCCTCTGAGCTCTCGTTTCCCCAGGCTCCCTTGCAGCTGGGCACGCACAGGGCAGAAGCTCAGCCAGAGGCACCTGGCACCCACCTAAGGGGAACCGGGAAGCAGAGAGGCGGGAACGACTTGGAGGCCACCTGGATGGGCCGTCAGGGAGGGGTCTGGACAGAGAAGGCCGGGTCCCACGTCCAGCATCCTGTGTCCGGGGTCCACTGGACCCCTGCCGCACGGCACCCTGGGACATTGTTCCTGCTCCTCGTCCCCCAGGCTGAGTGTCTGCCCCCCAGACATTCCACCAGCCCTGAGTGCCAGGGACCTCGTCCCCCTTGTTCCCCGAGGGATGGCCAGCATCCGTCCAAGAGTAAAAACATCCTTCAGCGCCTGCTCCCTGCCCCTGCCCATCCTGCCTCACTCCATGCTCCCGCGACCCTGTGAGGCAGGGACGGGGGAGGAAGCGTGCTCAGAGCCCCAGCCTCAGGCCCGGCGGGGGCAGAGCCAGGCCCCGGGGGCAGCAATTGGGCCACAGAGTCCCCCACGTGCAGCCCGCAGACATGTGTCTAATGAGCAGTGGGGCACGGAGTATGTCCCACTTCCCAGGAGGGTTGCCCGAGCTCCACCACCCCCCTCCCCGGTCACCTGCCATCCTGCTGGCCTGTGTCCATCCTGCCAGCCATCCCTGGTCTGACCCTGTGGTGGACTGCGTTTTTTGTTTGTTTGCTTGTATTTAAATGTATTTTTATTGACTTCAGAGAGGGAGAGGGAAAGAGAGAAAAACATCAATGATGAGAGTCATGGACCGGCTGCCTCCTGCACACCCCACTCTGGGGATGGAGCCCGCAACCCGGGCCTGTGCCCTGACCGGGAAATCCAACCCTGACCTCCTGGTTCCTAGCCCGACGCGCAGCCCGAGCCAGCCGGCGGGGCTGCTACTAGTAGTCTTGAGTCAACCCAAACAGGAACTCATTTGGATCCAATGTGCAGGCTAAATCGCATTACAGCGAACGCCAGGGAATAGAATCCGCGTGCTCTTCCCTGGCCCCGGAATGTCGCTGGCAGTCGCCGCCGCCGTCCTGCCGGGCCGGGCTGGGCACTTTCACGCATGGGCTCCCCTAATCCCACAGGGCCCTCTGACGGGGCGGGGGGGGGGGGGGCAGCACTGCCCCACTTTAAAGAAGCGGAAATGGAGGCACAGAGAGAGGTCACCGGCCTCGTCCAGGATCTGCTGGCCAGGAAGTGGCTCAGAGCCAGGTCCGTGTCCAGGACAGCCCTCCGCAGCCCGGCCATCTGCTGGGAGCAGCCTTCCCCGGCCAGGGCCTTGGCATCGCCGGCTCCCAGCAGGTTCTCCCTGGTGCCTGGGTCCGAAGGGGTGGGGAGACCCCTCCAGGGGGGCCTGGGTTTGAAGTTACTGCCTCAGGTCAGTCCCAAGCACAGCCGGCCGGGGCACTGGCCTGAGAACGGATGGGGGGGTGGGGGGCAGTGTGCATTTCCGAGGGAATGGAACTCAGCCTCAGCACTTAGGTCAGCTTCTGGGAGCCTCAGTTCCCTCATCAGGAAAATGGACGCAGCTGCCCCAAGTGCCTGTGGGGAGGGCCTCCCTCCGGCTGACCCCCAGGGCACGGCAGCCTCAAGCACGGAGGCTTCACAACACAGCACCTCACGCCCCCAACAGGCTCACAGCCCTGCCCGCTGGGTGTGTGCAGGGTGGGTGTTGTAACTTCCTAATCTCAGCTCATCACTCAGTGCTCGGGGCCAAAGGGGCCCTGCACGCAGGGCGACTACAAAGGCAGGGCCAGGCCAGCTGCTGCCACAGCCCGGCTGCCTCCCACCTCCTGCTCCAGAGGGACCCGGTGCCGTCCAGGGGACCCAGCCCGCCCGTGCCCGCCTGGCCTCAGGAGGGGCCCAGGAAGGCCTGCGCTGGTCCAGCTTCCATCCCCAAAGGTAAGACTGTCTCCTGTCTTTTTTTTTTTCCCAATCCTCACCTGAGGGTATTTTCCATTGATTTTCAGAGAGAGTAGACGAGAGAGGGAAAGACAGAGAAACATCAACGTGAGATTGATTGGTTGCCCCCTGCAGGAGCCCTGGACCCTTGACCGGAATCGAACCCAGGACCCGGGACCCTTTGGTACACAGGCCTTCTCTCTATTCACTGGGCCACACCGGCCAGGGCCCTGCTTCCTGCCTGAGAGAGGGTCTAGTCTTGTGACACCCCCGGGCGCAGGCCGGAGGGAAGGGGCAGGGGTCTGCCGGCGGTGGGCGCTCTGCGGGTGCGGAGGATGAACAAATGCTTCGCTTTCTCTGGTCTCCCTGCCCAAAGGGGAGCGACTCCGAGGTAAACACCCGCCCCGCCTCCTCTGGGCTCCTGACGAGGACCCTCCTCGGTGCCACGTGCGGGCGCTGGGAAGGTGAGGCGGTGGCAGGTACCAGGGTGGGCGGAGGTCCCTGGGCTGAGACCCAGCGGCCGCTCCTCGATCCTCGCCCCCACCCCGCGCAGGCGCGGCGGGAGGTCGGTGGGTCCCGGGCCGGAGCGCGCAGCCAGGGCGCACGGGGCGACCCAGGACCTCGGCGGATGGCAGCGCCCCCTCTGGTCCCAGCGCCTCCGCGGGCCGCCCAGAATCTGTGCCGCCCGGAGCCGGGCAGGGCGAATCCTCCCCGGCGCCGAGTAAGGGCTCCCGGTCCCTCCCGCACGTCGCCTGGGGCGCCCGGCCTCGGGCCACACCTGTCCGCTCCTCCCGGAGGCCTCGGCGCGGCGCTGACGGCCCCAGACGCGGAGCCCCGTGTCCGCCGTCGCTTTGATCCCGGGGGCCCCGCTGGATAAAAGTCTGGGCGGCCCCGCGCCAGCTCCAGAGGGCGGTCGCCGGGGCGGGCGCGCCAGCGGGCGGGGTGCAGGCGAGCGACCCGAGGAGCCAGGGCGCGGGGCCGGTGAGCCGGGGTCTCCGGGTCGCTCGGGGTGGGGTCGTGGGCCGGGGTGCGGGTGCCCTCGGGCTACACCCCGGGCCTGGGCAGCGGGGTGAGCGGACCCCAGGGGCTCAGGTGAGGGCGCTCATCCTGCGCCCTCGGCCCGTCGGGCGCGGGCCGCTGAGCGGAGTCCCCCCTCCTTTTCCGCCCCCCTCGGGGGGGCTCAGAGAAGCCCCACTCCTTCCCCGCCGCCCCCCTCGCCGCACTCACACCCGCCGCCCCGGGGTGGAGGCAGCGGCGCCGGGCTGGCCCCGGCAATGGAGCCGCCGGGCCGCGGGGCGCGCTGCCCCCCACGGAGTCGAGCCGGGAGCGCCTCCGGCGGCCGCGGCGGGGTAGTCCAGGCCCCTCCGTCAGGCTTGCGGTTTGGGAAGAAAAGGCGATGCCTCCGCCAAGAAGAGAGCGAGCGCGGTCCCCTCCCCCTCCACCGAGCCCGGGCGGTGGCGGCGGCACATCTAACGCGCGGGCACCCGGGCGGCCGCGGCCCCCGCAAACTACGCCCAGGCTCGGCCCCCGCCGCTCATTGGCGCGGGCGGGAGCCAGCGCAGTAGACCCTGCGCTGCCCTCGGCCGGCTGCGCGCGGAGCCCGAGCTGCCCAGGCCACGGCGTCCGGCCACAGAGCCTCGACGCCGACCCCCGCGCCGCCCCGGCCAGGCCCAGCGCGAGGAGCCGGGCGAGGCAGCCGGCGCGGCCGGCGCCCCGCAGCCCCGACGCCCCCGGCCCGGCGCCCCCCCACCCCCGCCGCCGCTCACGCCGTGCGCTCCCCGCAGGTGGCCATGGGCCGAGGGGCGCGCGCGCTCCTGCTGCTGCTGGGCCTGCTGCAGGGGGCCGGGGGCGGCGAGGGCAGGAAGACCTGGCGGCGCCGCGGCCAGCAGCCGCCCCCGCAGCGAGCCGAGGCGGTGCCCGCGGCCGGACCGCCCGTGGAGAGCTTCCCGCTGGACTTCACGGCCGTGGAGGGCAACATGGACAGCTTCATGGCGCAGGTGAAGAGCCTGGCGCAGTCCCTGTACCCCTGCTCCGCGCAGCAGCTCAACGAGGACCTGCGCCTGCACCTCCTGCTCAACACGTCGGTGACCTGCAACGACGGCAGCCCCGCCGGGTAAGCCGCCTCCGCCCGACTGTCCTGTCCGGTGGCCCCGCGGGGCTCCAGGCTGCCTGGTCCCAGCGGCTGCACCGTCGCCGCCGCCGGTCCCGCTGCGATGCCAGGCGTCCCTGCGCGGGACCCTCCCCACTGGCCGTGGCAGCTCCCGTCCCCCGGGGAGAGGGCGCCCATGGGGCTTGGGAGGTGCTGACCTCGGCCGGCCGGGCTCCGCGAGGGGGTGGGGACAGGCTTGGAGCCCTGGTCCTGGGCCAGCCTGGGCACTGACCCCTCGGCCATCGGTGCCCAGACCCTCTGCTGTGTCCTTCGGCCCCGGGGCGGGGAGATGGCAGCCCTCGAGCGGCCTCGGCTCCAACAGGAGGAGGCGACGCGGGGCGGGGAGAGCCCGGCTGCACCCCCACCCCCACCCCAGCTCAGCTCAGTCGGCTCCCCGCTGCTGCCCGGGCTGCGGGCGGGGGGAGCAGCCAGCAGACGACCAGGGAGGGGAGCAGGTGGTGCAAAAGGACCCAGGGAGCGACAGCCCGAAAGAGAAAAGGAAGGATGCGAGGCCGAGGGTCGGGAGGAGTTGGGGAGCCCCCTCGCTCCGCCAGCCGGCGCCCGAGGAACGGGACGCGGGGTCAGGCCTCGGCAGGGAGGCTGGACCCCGCCTCGCCCCTGCATCCCGCCGGCCACCTCAGCCCCCTGCCCGCGCGCTCTCCTCCGCGAGGGCCCTTTGCGCACCCCGAGTGCCACCGCGCGCCCCCGGCGGGTCCCGAGTCCGGACGACCGCACCCCCATCCCCTGCGACCGGCCGCCGGCACCGAGTTCCAGCGGTCCCGCGCGGGGTGGGCCGTGGGGATTTTCCACGGACCACACAGCCCCTCGCGGCCCTTCCTGTCCCGCGGGCGCCCCCTCCTGGGCCTGGCGCCGCCGGTGCGCGGTGCAGGGGTCCGGCCTCGGGCGCCCCCGTGCGGCCCGCGCGCCCGGCGACAGGTGGAGGACCAGGGCCCTGCGCGCTGATACCCCCCCTGCACCCCCGCACCCTGCACCCCCGCAGCTACTACCTGAAGGAGTCCAAGGGCAGTCGGCGCTGGCTGCTCTTCCTGGAAGGTGCGTCCCAGGAGCCGGGCGGCGGGGCGGCGGGTCCCCGGGTCCCCGGCCGCGGCCTGAGCGCTCCGTGCGGTGCCCACAGGCGGCTGGTACTGCTTCAACCGCGAGAACTGCGACTCCCGGTACAACACGCTGCGGCGCCTCATGAGCTCCAAGGACTGGCCGCGCACGCGCACAGGTCAGGGCGCCCACCTGCCCTCCTTGGCCCGGGGGGGGGGGGGGGGGGGCCAGGGCCGGCTCCTGGGGCTCTCGGTGGAGGTCCTGGCTCCACTCCCGAGAGCTCCCCGCCGGCCATGTCCGTCCCCCCCCCCCTCCCCCGGCTTCCCTGACTCCCCAGGGGAGGGTCCACGCCCTCTCGCCCTGGGTTCTAGGTCATCCCCGGGTCCAAGCAGCTGGTGGAGGTGGGGGCGGTCGAGGGCCACATCCAGGGCTCACACTCCGGCTGGGCATCCTGGCCGGGAGACTGGTCTGTCCCCCCTTCCCCGCCACCCACCTTGTGGGGACCAAGTAGGAACCCCCACGCCCTGACCTGCCCGCTGACTCTGTCCCCCCTGCCACAGGCACCGGGATCCTGTCCTCCCAGCCCGAGGAAAACCCCCACTGGTGGAACGCCAACATGGTGTAAGGGGCGAGGGGGCCTGTGCTCAGGTCCCTCCTGGGGGTCCTGCTTGGGGGGTCCTTGGGGGAGGTCTTCCCTGGGGGAGGTCTTCCCTGGGGGTGGTCTTCCCTGGCCTGGCTTGCAGGGCCGGGAGGGGCCGGCGGGGCGGGCGGGGCGTGGTGGCACAGGGCTCACTGTCCTCTCCTGCAGCTTCATCCCCTACTGCTCCAGTGATGTCTGGAGTGGGGCTTCACCCAAGTCGGACAAGAGTGAGTCCCCTGCCCTCCCCCTGCCCCCCTGCCCTCCCCCTGCCCCCCTCCCCTCCCCCTGCCCCCCTCCCCAGCCGCCAGTCAGGCAGGGAGGGAGCAGCAAGCTCCCAGGATGCAGGCCTTCGCCTTGTGCTCCCTCTAACCCCACCCCCACATGCCCCAGGTGCCTGCTTGTGCAGGGCTGGCCAGGCCCCGTGGGGACCCTCACTCCTGGCTGGCCCCTGGGGAGGGGCCCCCAGCACTGCCCTACACACCTGACCCCAGGGAACCTATCCCTCCCCCCCCCCCCCCGTCCCTGCCCCCCTCCCCCCCAGCCAGCACCGTCTTCCTCCCCACCTGGTGTAGGAGGCCTCGCTCTCTGTCCAGGCCCCACGTGAAGCCACCCCCTTCTCCCGCAGATGAATATGCCTTCATGGGCGCCCTCATCATCCAGGAGGTGGTGCGGGAGCTCCTGGGCAAAGGGCTGAGTGGGGCCAAGGTGCTGCTGCTGGCAGGGAGCAGGTGGGCCTGGCAGGGGCCTGGGGGGAGGGGGCAGGTGGGCCTGGCAGGGGCCTGGGGGGAGGGGGCAGGTGGGCCTGGCAGGGGCCTGGGGGGAGGGGGCAGGTGGGCCTGGCTGGGGCCTGGGGGGACTGGAAAAGGAGCAGGTGGGGTTCCAGCCTTGCAGCCCTGGGCAAGCATCCACTGCAGCTGGGAACTGTCTAGAGCCATGGTCGGCAAACTGCGGCTTGAGAGCCACATGCAGCTCCTTGGCCCCTTGAGTGTGGCTCTTCCTAAGCCTTAGGAGGACCCTAATGAAGTTAATAACAATGTACCTACCTATATAGTTTAAGTTTAAAAAACTTGGCTCTCAAAAGAAATTTCAATCGTTGCACTGTTGCTATTTGGCTCTGTTGACTAATGAGTTTGCCTACCACTGGTCTAGAGCAGTGGTTCTCAACCTGTGGGTCGCGACCCCTTTGGGGGGTCGAACGACCCTTTCACAGGGGTTGCCTAAGACCATCGGAAAACACATCTATAATTACAGATTGTTTTTGTGATGAATCGCTATGCTTTAATTATGTTCAATTTGTAACAATGAAAATACATCCTGCATATCAGATATTTACATGACGATTCATAACAGTAGCAACATTACAGTTATGAAGTAGCAACGACAATAATGTTATGGTTGGGGGTCACCACAACATGAGGAGCTGTATGAAAGGGTCGTGGCATTAGGAAGGTTGAGAACCGCTGGGATAGAGGAAGCTCTGGACCCGTGGTGTGGAGGAGGGGAGCCCTGGACCGCAGTGACCGAGGGAGTGGTCAGCATTAGCCGTAGCCCGTGCACCTTCTCCGAGGCTGGGACCACGTGGGCAGGGAGCACATTGCTGGTCACTGCCCCAGGCGGCGTGCGGGGACCTGGGGGCATCGGCGTGACGGGTGAAGGGCTGAGGCCCAAGAGCCTCTTCATTCATTTATTTATATTTTTATTGACGTCAGAGAGGAAGGGAGAGGGAGTGAGAGAGAGAAACCTCCATGATGAGAGAATCGTGGACTGGCTGCCTTCTGCACGCCCCCCACTGGGGATCGAGCCCACAACCCAGGCATGTGCCCCGACCCGGAATGGAACCGTGATCCCCTGGTTCAACCATTGAGCCACACCGGCCGGGCCCTCTTTACTTTCAGATAAGGAAACCGAGGTGGAGAGAGAGAGAGAGAGAGAGAGAGAGAGGGGAAGGGAAGGAGGACAGGGAGGAAGTGGGCAGCCTGCCCTTAGCGCTGGGTCAGCGCCTGGAGCCTGCCAGCCCCTCCCCCGCCTCCAGGACCCGAAGGCCCACGGGGAAGGGCCTGGAAGCCTCCGGGACAGGCAGCAGGGCGGGTGGAGCAGGGACTGGCGGCAGTTGTGCAGGTGCGTCGGGCTCCCTGCCACCCGGGCCGGCTCGGGGCCAGGCAGGCTCGGGGGCTGAGCGCCTCCCATTCCCGTCCCTGCAGCGCGGGCGGCACGGGGGTGCTGCTCAACGTGGACCGCGTGGCGGAGCAGCTGCAGGAGCTGGGCCACCCCACCATTCAGGTGCGGGGCCTGGTGGACTCGGGCTGGTTCCTGGACAACAAGCAGTACCACCGCACGGACTGCGTGGACACGGCCACCTGTGCGCCCACCGACGCCATCCGCCTGGGCATCAGGTGCGTGGGGAGGGCGGCCGGCCGGGCTGGCGGGGCCCCGGGCAGAGGGCGGGAGGCGTGGTGTCCTAACCGGCAGGTGTGGCCCAGGTACTGGAACGGGGTGGTCCCTGAGCGCTGCCGGCGCCAGTTCAAGGAGGGCGAGGAGTGGAACTGCTTCTTCGGCTACAAGGTCTACCCGACGCTGCGCTGTGAGTGCCCAGCTTGGGGCTCGCGGGGCACCCAGGGGTGGGGGACCTCCTGCACCTCCTGACTCCAGCGTGGAGTCGGGCCCCAGCGGCCAGGCCCAGACCGGAGCGGGGCGACCCCCCCATCCGGTTCGCCTGGGACCCTCCTGGTCTTAGCACTGAGTCCACTCCGGTGGGGAGACCGGGACGGGGTGCAGGTGGGGGCGGGGATCGCTCCGTCAGCTCCCAGGGCCTAGGCTGCCCCTCCCCCGCCCCACTTGCGGGGCGTGGGAGTGAGATCCCTGCAAAGGGACCTCATCACCAAGTCTCAGTAGAAGGGCATCCCGGGAGCCTAACAAGGCATTTCTGGGAGGAAGGGTGGGTGCTATGGGGCAGCTGGGCTGAGGGGGGCTTGCGGCCAGCACCTGAGAGGTGAGGCCAGCTGGCCCGGACCTAGGGGGCCGGAGCCTGGGGTGGGGGGCCGAGTCCCGGCGAGAGGCCCAGCTGAGCCGTGCCCCCCAGGCCCTGTGTTCGTGGTGCAGTGGCTGTTCGACGAGGCCCAGCTGACCGTGGACAACGTGCACCTCACGGGGCAGCCGGTCCAGGAGGGCCAGTGGCTGTACATCCAGAACGTGGGCCGGGAGCTGCGGCAGACGCTCAAGGACGTGGCGTGAGTGCCGGGCCCTCCATAGGCAGCGGCCACTTGCCTGACACACAGAGGCCTCCGGGGGCCACGGTGCCCGCCGTGGTGAGGACCAGCCCGCGGGTGCACGCAGACCCTGGGACACCACTGGGCATCGAACCATGACCGCCTGGCTCATGGGTTGATGCTCAACCACTGAGCCACACCGGCCGGGCAAGTCCCCTCTGTTTTACTGTGAATAGAAACTTCTTGAAAAATGAAACCTGTTGTTTGAAAAGTAGCACGCCCTGGCCAGGTGCTCAGCGGGTCAGAACATCTCCTGACACACAGGGTGCGGGTTCGATGCCCTTTGGGGCGCACACACAGGCATCAACCGAGAGCACCAATAAGTGGGACGATAGATCCATCCGTCTCTTTCTCTCCTCCCGCCCCTCTCAGGGTCAACCAATCCGTACACAAATAAGAACAGCATGTATTTGGACAAAGGGAAGACCCAGATTTTCTCTAAAAAGGCGCAAATTTGCCTCCAGGCCTCTGCGTCCAGGGCCCTTCATGGGTGATCTGGAGGCAGGAAGGGACGAGGGTTCGCAGGGAACACAAGGGCGGATGGGGACGGCCTGGGCTGAGGAGCAGCTGGCCGGCGGGCACAGCAAAGCCAGGAGGTGGAGGCCGGCAGGGGACAGGCTCCCGGGGAGTGACCGACCCGTGGGCATCGGGTGGGGAAGGGGCTGAGGTGGGGCGGCTGCTCATGGGCGTCTGTCCCACCGGCACAGGGCCAGCTTCGCGCCCGCCTGCCTCTCCCACGAGATCATCCTCCGAAGGTCAGTGCCCCTCGCCCCTTGCCACTCGCCCTGGACCGGCTCAGACCCCTCCCTCTCGCCCTGAACCCACAACCCCCTCCCACCCCCCTGCCCGCACGCCTGCCTCCCAAGCCACTCAGACACCCGGCAGGCCCTGAGGCAGGAACCCAGTGGTCGCAGACTGTCTCCTGCTTCGCCCCGCCCCGCCCCCCCGCCCCCCCTCCCCCCCCGAGTGACCCCGCCCGGGTTTCTCTCCACAGCCACTGGACTGAGGTGCAGGTGAAGGGGACCTCACTCCCGCGGGCGCTGCACTGCTGGGACAGGAGCCTCCACGAGGGCCACAAGGGCAGCAAAACCCCTCTGAAGGGCTGCCCCGTCCACCTGGTGGACGGCTGCTCCTGGCCCCACTGCAACCCCTCGTGCCCCACCATCCGCGACCAGCTCACAGGGCAGGAGATGAACGTGGCCCAGTTCCTCATGCACATGGGCTTTGACGTGCAGGCCCTGGCGCAGCAGCAGGGTCTGGAGCCCAGCAAGCTGCTGGGGATGCTGAGCAGTGGGAGTTAGGGCCCCCGCAAGCCCCCGGGCCCCCCCCCCCGGGCCCACCCCTCCCGGCCCCCTGCCCCTCCCGGGACAGCTGGGTCCGGACGCCCACCCCCAGCAGCCTTCACCGCCCCTCTGGACCCCGGACGCGGCCTCCCCCGCCCCCGCCTGCGGTGGGGAGACCGCGCACTGGACCCTCAGCCCCGCCCTCAGCCCAGGCTCTCCTGCCCTTTTGTATTATTTTATAAAGTGACTTTTTTATTACTTTAATTTTTTAAAAAGGAAAATAAGCAAGAAATATATGATGAATGATATTGTTTTGTAACATATATTTTTTAAATAATGAGATTAAAAAAGACAACAAAAGAGCTTTTCTCTGCGGACATGTTTATTTGAACGGCAGTCGGCCCACTTTGCACCCCTCCCTGCCCCCCCACACTGACCTCCCCCCAACCCCTCCGCCAGGAACAGGGAGGGGGCTGGGGGGGCGAGGCCCACACCCCCCCTCACCTCCCATTCTAGACCCTCTCTGAGGAGGCCCTCCTTCCGCTCACCCGACGGCCGAGGCTCAGGGCAGAGGCCTCAAAGGGGGCATAGCTGCCATTCCTGTTTATTGGGCTGCCGAGGTGCACACGGCACGGCTTCACACAGGATGGTCTCGCGGGCATGGCTCAGCATTTGCCCACTCAGGAAGGTGTCACCACTGGCAGTCTCCAGTCAAACATTATCACCGAGCCCAGCGGGTGAGGACTCCATCCCCAGTGGGGGGCGTGCAGGAGCCAGCCAATCAATGATTCTCTCTCATTACTGATGTTTCTATCTCCCTCTCCCTTACTCTCTGAAATTAATTTTGTAAAAAATGAAATTAAAACATTATCTATCCTATCTAATAAAAGAGAAACATGGTAATTAGTGTACGTCCGCTACCCTTCCCATTGTCTAATCAGGGTGATATGCAAATTAACTGCAGGCCAAGATGGCGGCCGGCAGCCAGGCAGCTTGAAGCTAACATGAGGCTTGCTTGCTTCAGTGACAGAGGAAACCAACGTTCCCCGCCTGCCGCTGCCAGCCTCTGAGCTTGCAGTTTGAAACATTGTTACAAATATAGAAGCTAAACAAAACCCCAGAAACCTGCTTTCAGCCAGTCGGGATCTCAGAGCTGGAGTTGATACAGTGTTTCGATTATAGACCCCAAACAAACCAGATACCTGCTTTCAGCAGCAGAGGCCTCAAAGCTGGAGCCAGAGCTAAAGCTGGCCCAGAATAAAAAGAAAAAAAGGAGCAGTTGGGAGCTTCAGTCACCCGCCAGCCTGAAAACAGCCCTCAGCCCCTCACCCAGACTGGCCAGGCACCCCAGTGGGGACCCCCACCCTGAAGGGTGTGTGACCAGCTGCAAACAGCCATCATCCCCTCACCCAGGCTGGCCAGGCACCCCAGTGAGGACCCCCACCCTGATCCAGGACACCCTTCAGGGCAAACCAGCCGGCCCCCACCCATGCACCAGGCCTCTATCCTATATAGTAAAAGGGTAATATGCCTCCCAGCACCGGGATCAGCGGAGCTGCGAGGCCTCCAGGCACCGGGATCAGTGTGACAGGGGGCGGGGCCACAACCTCCCTATCCGCCCTGCTCTGTTTGTGACAGGGGAAGGTGCCCCAACCCCCTGATCAGCCCCGCTCTATGCCTGATAGGGGGGAGCTCCCCAACCCCCTGATCGCCCTGCGGCTCTGTGTGTGACGGGAAGGCGCCCCAACCCCCTGATCAGCCCAGCTCTGTGTGTGATAGAGGGCAGCGCCCCAACCCCCCCCTCCACGGGCCCTGCTCTATGTGTGATGGGGTAGAGCCATAACCTCCCCATCGGCCCTGCCCTGAGTGTGACAGTGGTGGCGCCCCAACCCCCTGATCGGCCCTGCTCTGTGGGTGATAGAGGGCGGCGCCCCAACCCCCTGATCCGCCCTGCTCTGTGTGTGACAGGGGGCGGTGCCCCAACTCCCCAATCGGCCCTGCTCTGAGCCCGACCAGGGGCTCCACCTAGGGATTGGGCCTGCCCTCTGCCACCTGGGAGCAGGCCTAAGCCAGCAGGTCGTTATCCTCCGAGGGGTCCCAGACTGTGAGAGGGCACAGGCCGGGCTGAGGGACCCGCCCTCCCCCCCGAGTGCACAAATTTTTGTGCACCGGGCCTCTAGTATGTATATATATATATATATATATATATATATACCATAATATGCAAATAGAATGAATGGCAGAACAACCCAACTACCAAACAACCGGTCGCTATGATGTGCACTGACCACCAGGGGGCGCACATGGAACATGGCAGGCATCGGCAGCAGGCAGCAGTGTGCGGAACATGGTGGGCATTGTCAGCAGGTGCAAGCAGTGGCTGCCAGCCCTGATTGCCCCTGGGGGCTTCTCCACCTCCCCCTGCTCCTGAGGGGCGATCAGGACAGCAGCTGCTGCTCGCACCCACTGACGGCACCGGCCCGAATTGCTCTGCGTGTCAGCGTGTGTGAGCGGGGCTGGCACCATCAGCACATGGGAGCGGCAGTGGTGGGAGTAGGGCTGCTGGCACACAGGGGACTGGGGCTGTGATGGGACGAGCCCAGTGGGGGCGCAGAGGATGGGCTGAGACCCGCCCCTGTGCCCACCGCACCTCTTGGCCCACAGTTCCTTTTAAGGTGCATGAATTCGTGCACTGGGCCCCTAGTTTAAAAAATAAAATAACAAGTGTGCAGGCACTCAGCCAACCCCTGTGGCCCTGCTTCCCCCACCGACTGGTGGAGCGCGACCTTCGCTGCCCTGGGACCTGGAGATGGAACTTTAACTCAGTGTCAACATTGACTCCAAATTTCAACTGTGTTTACAGCGACCTCAAAGGATCTGAAGGCCCAGGCAGGATGCGCCCCTGGCTTCCTGTCCCCCTTCCCTTTGCTCCCAGAGCAACTTCGACTGCCGGGCCCCGCTCAGCTGCCCTGACCCCGCAGACTCCGGCCAGCCGCCCTCGCTCCCTGAGCACTGGCCACCGAGCCTCCACCAGATCCTGTCTCTCCTTCAGCCTGGACACCTGTGCCCAGCGCCTCCCTGGGCCCCTCATTCTCACAATGAAGATGTCACCTCTTCTGCCCTAGTCAGTTTGGCTCAGTGGGTAGAGCATTGGCCTGAAGACTGAAAGGTCCTGGGTTCAATTCCTGGCACATGATCACAGTTGTGGGCTCGAGCTATAGTAGGGGGCATGCAGGAGGCAGCTGGTCAATGACTCATTGATGTTTCTATTTCTTTCTTTTTTCTTTTTTTTTTTTTCTTATCTAGTATTTTTAATTCAATGATCTACTTAGCTTCCCATGAATTTTCCTAAATTACCAAAAGAAGAACATATGTAGATTTAACATGACTGGGCTTCAAAGGGTGACACGTATTAAGTTCAATACCCATACCCACTTATACACAGATATATTCACACACAGATATATTCACCCTCACCCGTTTTACTAAAAGGTTTAACCTGCCAGTTAGGTGCGTGCCGGGGTCCAGCCCCAGCAGGTCCAGGGGTCCCCAAAGGTGTGGACAGAGTCAGCGAAGAAGGAATGACACGAAGAGGGCGTTCAGATTATCATCATAGCGAGGTTCTCTAGCCAAGTTCTGGTCAGGATCTCCAGAGAGGTTCTGCTTAGGATCTCCAGCTAGGTTCCGTGTCCATGTTCTCTTGCTAGGTTCTCCCGGTTCTCCAGCCAGGTTCAGTAGCCAAGTTCCCTCGCTAGGTTCTCCAGCCAGGTTCTGTCCAGGTTCTCCAGCCAGGTTCTCTTGCCAATTTCTGTAGTCAGGTTCAGTCCAGGATCTTTTGCCATGTTCTCTCGCTAGGTTCTGTCTCTAGGTTCTGAGGCCAGTTTCTGTCCAGGATCTTTTGCCATGTTCTCTCCAGCGAAGTTCTTCTGTCTCTAGAGAACGTTCTGTGTAGGTTCTGTGCCTAGGTTCTGTCTCTCCGATGTTTCTATTTCTCTCTCCCTCTCCCTTCTTCTCTGAAAGAAATATAAATCCTATATAATATCCTATATAATAAAAGGCTAATATGCAAATCGACTGAACCAAACGGTAGAACGACCGGTCAATATGATGCTCACCGACCACAGGGGGCAGGCATTCAACACAGGAGCTGCCCCCTGGTGGTCAGTGCACACCCAAAGGGGGAGCGCAGCTCAGCCACAAGCCTGGCTGATGGCTGGCGAGTGCAGCGGTGGTGGTGGGAGCCTCTCCTGCCTCCATGGCAACGCTAAGGGGTGTGGGCCTAAGCCATCAGTCGGACATCCCCTGAGGGCTCCTGGACTGCGAGAGGGCGCAGGCCAGGCTAAGGGCGCCCCCCCACACACACCCCCAAGTGCATGAATTTTGTGCACCAGGCCTCTAGTCTCTATATATTTTTAAAAGCATGTTAATTCAGATAGCCAGTGTGACTCCCCTTTTAAAGGGAGGTGGTTCATAGAGTGGCTGCCCACAGGAGCTAGGACCACCCCCCCCCCCAGGGTGGACGTAAATCAGGGACACTGGTCAACCAAGTGGCCAGGCTGTTGGTGCTAGAACATTCCGACGTCACAGCTCCCACGGTGGGCCGAGGCATCCCCCCCGCCCCCCGTGGGTTTCCAGCCAAGAAGACACCTGTCCAGAACCTAATGGTGAGGAAACAGGCCGATCGCACTCACGGAGAGACAGTCTGCAAAGCCACCTGCTCAGACTCTCCAAAAAGAGGCATGAGGAAATGGCAACAAAGAGAGAGACTGCTCTAGAATACGGGGAACGGAGGCACAGCGGCCAAATGCATCCTCCCCATCAGGTCCTGGTGCTGCGTGTGCTTCCGGGAGGGGGGAAACGGAATAAGGACCCGCGCTACTCAAGTGTCCCGGCATGAGCCTCCTGCTCAGTCCTTTCCCAGCAGGCGTCGTGGAGGGACCTCGGGCGGATTGTCGTATCCACAGAATTAACATTATTATTCTTTGTTGTTTGTTAATCCTCACCTGAGGATATTTTTCCATTGATTTTTAGAGAGAGTGGAAGGGACGGAAAGAGACATATCGATTGGCTGCCTCCCGCGCGCACCCTGACCAGGGCTGGGGATTGAGCGCGCCACCGAGGTACGTGCCCTTGACCGGAATCACAGGCTGACGCTCTATCCACTGAGCCAAACCGGCTAGGGTAACGTTATTATTGATGATTAACTATCAACGAGCAGGAGGGAGAGAGAACAAATGGCAAAATAGGACTGATTCTTTATATATATATATATATTGATTCTAGAGAGGAAGGGAGAGATAAAACATCAGTGATGAGAGAGAAGGATTGCTCGGCTGCCTTCTGCACGCCCCTACTGGGGATCAAGCTCGCAACCTCAGGCATGTGCCTTTGACCGGAATCGAACCTGGACCCTTTAATCCACAGGCTGGCACTCTATCCACTGAGCCACACCGGCCAGGGCGGGACTGATTCTTTTTTTTTTTTAATATATTTTATTGATTTTTTACAGAGAGGAAGGGAGAGAGACAGACAGCCAGAAACATCGACGAGAGAGAAACATCGATCAGCTGCCTCCTGCACATCTCCCACCGGGGATGTGCCCGCAACCCAGGCACATGCCCCTGACCGGAACCGAACCCGGGACCCCTCAGTCCGCAGGCCGACGCTCTATCCACTGAGCCACACCGGCCAGGGCGGGACTGATTCTTTTTTTTTTTTTTAATATATTTTATTGATTTTTTACAGAGAGGAAGGGAAAGAGACAGAGAGCCAGAAACATCGACGAGAGAGAAACATCGATCGGCTGCCTCCTGCACATCTCCCACCGGGGATGTGCCTGCAACCCAGGCACATGCCCCTGACCGGAACTGAACCCGGGACCCCTCAGTCCGCAGGCCGACGCTCTATCCACTGAGCCACACCGGCCAGGGCGGGACTGATTCTTGATGCAAGGGGGAAGTATGTTCACGGTGCTATTTCGAAACTCTTCGGTGAGTGTGAAACTTTTCTAAATGAAGTCGGGGAAACAGATACATTTATGTAATTACCCCCCCCACACACACACACACGCACACACACACACACGCACACACGCACACACACGCACACACACGCACACACGCGCACACACATACACACACACACACACGCACACACACACACACACACACACACGCACACACACATACACGCACGAGATGTTCATAGTGATCCATCCAGGGACAGGATCACGGGCGATGTTCCTGTCTCGTTTCCGGCATTGATGGGTGTTCCAACTCCTACCTTCAGAAAGAAATGTTTTCATTTTCACAAGCCTTTCGTACATATTAATATTTTAGCCTGAAAATAGGGGAGTTGAGTTTCTTCTAGGTGTTCGCATGTCTAGTAGGGACAGGTCAAGAGCTCCATAATGCCCCCCGCCAAATAACAACTACACCTCCACCCAGGGCAGGCTGGGGGCTGTGAGGAGAAAGGGGGCACGACCCCCAGGAGCCCCCTCCCTTCCCCAGAGGCCCCCGCCCGGAACAGAGCTGACCCAGGGCCCCAGGGGCCATGACAGCAGGTCCTGCAAACCATTTGGGTCTGGACCAAGCCACCCCCACCCCTGCCCCTCCCCCTCCTGGCCCGCCATGGAGGCTGCTGAGCTGAAGGGACAGTGACCGGGTCACTCTCTGCTCCCCTCCCTCCTCCTCCCCTGCAGGAAGAGGAGTGACAGACAGAGGCAGGTGCTGTGAAGGAGGCGGAGCCAGCAGCCAAGGGGTTAATGGTCCTGGCAGGGGCTTGGCCTGGGGCACAGGGGTCAGATGTCCCCCTGGAATGGGGACCGGCTGCTATTCCCAGGCTCTGACACTCCGCCTATTTATAGCGCTGGGCCGGCCCCCCCACACCAGGCAGAGCGGCTGCTCCCTGCAATGTCACTGCCACTGCAGCCACTGGCACCAGCACCGGCACCGGCACCTCCGCGCTGAAGGAGGCAGAGCGGCCACCGCCCCGGCAGGAACCCCGGCCGCCAGGCGCGGTGTGAGGCCAGGAGGCGGCCTGTCCGATGGGCAGCACCATGGAGCCTCCCGGGGGCGGGTACCTGCACCTGGGCGCTGTGGCGTCCCCCGTGGGCACGGCCCGCGTGCTGCAGCTGGCCTTCGGGTGCGCCACCTTCAGCCTGGTGGCGCACCGCGGCGGCTTCGCGGGCGTGCAGGGCACCTTCTGCATGGCCGCCTGGGGCTTCTGCTTCGCCCTCTCGGGCCTGGTGGTGGCCTGCGAGGTCACCCGGCTGCACGGCTGCCTGCGCCTCTCCTGGGGCAACTTCACGGCCGCCTTCGCCATGCTGGCCACGCTGCTGTCGGCCACAGCGGCCGTCCTCTACCCGCTGTACTTCGCCCGTCTGCAGTGCCCGCCCGAGCCCGCGGGCTGCACCGCCCGGGACTTCCGTCTGGCCGCCAGCGTCTTCGCAGGGCTGCTGTTCCTGGCCTACGCGGCCGAGGTGGCCCTGACCCGGGCCCGGCCCGGCCAGGTGGCCAGCTACATGGCCACGGTGTCCGGGCTCCTGAAGATCGTCCAGGCCTTCGTGGCCTGCATCATCTTCGGGGCGCTGGTCCAGGACAGCGGCTACCGGCGCTACGCGGCCACCCAGTGGTGCGTGGCCGTCTACAGCCTGTGCTTCCTGGCCACCGTGGCCGTGGTGGCGCTGAGCGTCCTGGGCCACACGGGCGGCCCGGGCGGCCCCTTCGAGCGCTTCGTGGCCGTGTACACCTTCCTGGCCGTGCTCCTCTACCTCAGCGCCGCCGTCATCTGGCCCGTCTTCTGCTTCGACCCCAAGTACGGTGAGCCCAGGCGGCCCCCCGACTGCCCCCGGGGCCGCTGCGCCTGGGACAGCCAGCTGGTGGTGGCCGTCTTCACCTACGTCAACCTGCTGCTCTACGTGGCCGACCTGGCCTACTCGCAGAGGATCCGCTTCGTGCCCAGCCCGTAGCCCAGGCCCCCCGCCTCTGCTCTGGGTGCCGGGCCCGCGGGGGAGCGGCCAGGGGAGGCCCCGCACAGCCATTCAGAGGACTCCTGGCAGCGAAGGCAGCTTCGGGGGGCGGGGCCTGAGCAGGACCCCAGAGGACCTCCACCAGGCACTCCCAGCCCCTCCCTGTTTCTCTCCTTGTCTCTATCTCTCTCTCCCTCTCTGTCTCTGTCTCTCTCCCTGTCTCTCCCTGTCTTTGTCTCTCCCTGTCTCTGTCTCTCCCTGTCTCTGTCTCTCTCCCTGTCTCTCCCTATCTCTGTCTCTCCCTATCTCTGTCTCTCCCTGTCTCTGTCTCTCCCTATCTCTGTCTCTCTCCCTATCTCTGTCTCTCTCCCTGTCTCTCCCTATCTCTGTCTCTCCCTGTCTCTGTCTCTCCCTGTCTCTCCCTATCTCTGTCTCTCCCTGTCTCTCCCTATCTCTGTCTCTCCCTATCTCTGTCTCTCCCTGTCTCTGTCTCTCCCTGTCTCTCCCTATCTCTGTCTCTCTCCCTGTCTCTGTCTCTCTCCCTGTCTCTCTCCCTCTCTGTCTCTCCAGGGCTTGGCCTCTGACTCGGGGATGGCCCCTGTCGCTTAGGAGGAGCTCGGGAGGCAGGCCTGCTGGACTCTCTGCACATGGGTTCCCTGGGGGAGGGTTTGGACAGCCCCGTGTCTATTGCCGTCAGGAGCCTACATTCAGGCAGAACCTAAGTGAAGCTGAACAGAGACAATTCCCAGGGCTGTGGGGAGGGGCTGGAAAGGAGCCGGGCGTGTGGACAGGGCGTGTGGACAGAGCTGGGCTGGGGCAGGGCCTGGGGGCCGGCCTCCTGCCTTCAGGGGGCAGCTCCGGAGCAGGCAGCCAGGCCCGCGTGCAGCTCAAGGGGAAGGAGCCGGAACCATGACCCCAGCTCACCCACCGGCCTCCACTGGCCACAGAGAGGGGAACGGAGCCAGGACGGTGGAGTCGCCGGGGCCAGCCGAGGAGAAGCTGGTTCCCACCAGGCCGGCCCCACCACCGGCCCCACCAGGACCTGCTGTGGCCCAGGGGAGGCTGGCCCAGGGCAGCCACGGGACACGGAGCTGGGCCCGGCACCTCCCTGGTGCTCACGGCCCACGACCTCCATCTGCTCAAGTGTCTGTTCACCTGGCCGCTGACCACCAGGGCCCACTGGGGCCGTCGTCCAGCCAGCTTCCTCCATTGAGAGCCCGGCGGGGGCCGGCCCAGCACAGGGCCCCTCAGCCTGGCCTCTCGCCCAGGGTCCTGGGCAGGAAATAAAGGCCAGCGCTGACCTGCACCCGGCTCTGGCCAGCGATCTGCACCTCCTGGGCCCCCCTCACCCCCTCCTCAGCGGAGAAGAGCCTGACCCTGCCTGGCAGGGGAGGAGGCGGCCGGGGGCCCAGGGTATCAGGGTGAGAGCAGCCTCGGTCCTCTCCCTCGGTGAGAGCCAGCGTGGGGGGGAGATGGGATGACACCAAGCTCCGACCCCCCCCCCGTGGCACTCAGCACTGCCCGTCACCCACACCCCAGCAGGGGTGCCGGGGCCCCAGCGAGGGACAGAGGGGTGCTGCCCACTGTGGGTGGCGGGACCCAAGCAGGTTTCAGGCGCAGGCACCCAGCGGAGTGGGAGACAATGGGCCCCGCCGTGGGGAGGGCACTCGAGGGGCCCTTTACCCAGGGGGCAGTGGGGCAGGCTCCACAGCAGATCCCCGAAGAGGGCAGCAGCCCGTGTCTGAGGGAGGGTTGGGGTTGGGGGGACATTTCCAGGTGACAAGGAGCCTACGGGCCACACCCCTTCCAGCTCACAGGGAGGCCGGGACCACAGTTGTCCTTCCTTTTCCAGCCAAACTTCCGGAACGCGTTCTCTGCCTCCGGCTTCCCAGTCCCCGCACCGTCCAGGGGGCACCGTCCAGCGGCCGCGGCCCCAGTGCCCCTCCCAATTGTCGCAGGTCCGATGGGGGACAGAGGGGGTGCTCCTGCCGACACTGCCCCTGGACCGGAGGACTCCCTCGGCTCCAGGGAGTTACTGGCCGTTATTACTTGGAAAACAGCACTTTGTGTCCAGCCGGTGTGGCTCAGCGGTCGAGCGTCCACCTATGAAGCAAGAAGTCCCTGGTTGGATTCAGGCCAGGGCAGATGCCGCGGTTGCAGGTTCGACCCCCAGTAGGGGGCGTGCAGGAGGCAGCCAATGGATGATATTTCTCTCTCATCGATGTTTCTCTCTCTCCCTCTTCCTCTCTCTCTAAAAAGCAATAAAAACATTTTTTTAAAAGAAAGAAAAACTACTTTTTAAAGAAGAGGGTTCCATTCTCTGGTGACGGACAGTCAGAAGGGCTGGGCCCTCCTGTGGAGGGAGGAGATCGCCCGCTGCACAGGGCTCTGGTCGCCGCGTCAAAGAAAAGGCCCAGCCTGCCTCTGGGCACCAGCGCCGGAGTGATTCTGAGAATAGGTTCTGGGACAACTTGTCATTTAATTTGCAGAACTGATCAAGCAGGGTGGCTCACCCCTTCTCCTGTGGGCAGCGAGCTGTTCACAAGGATCCCTTCCTCCTTGGCCTGAATCCTGCTGCTGCCTGGGACCCCGGACCTTCCCAAACCCAACGCCGACTCAGACTCAGCTCAGATGAGCCCTGAGCGCGTCCCGGTGCGGGGAGGGCCCTGCGCCCATGTGCTCCCTAAGACCCAGGGCCAAGGGCTTCCAGGGGCCCTGCAGACACGACGTCAGGAGAGACTGGGGTGCTCCATGAAGCTGGGGGGCGCTGGGGTCACCTTCCTCTGGCCCAGAGAGACTGGCGGGGAGAAGCTCCGGGTGGAAGGAGCAGGGTCTCGGGGGCCAGGACCTAGACTTCCCGGGGCGCCTGAGCAGCCTCCTGGTACAACTGAATAAAACCCAGACAAGCTAGAAACAGAAGCACACACAGAACTTGAAAGCGGCAAGAAACAGTATCACACTAGCGATCCATGTTAAATGTTTCCCTCCGGCAAACTGTTCTCACACACACACCTCGCACCGAGCGCGCCAGCAAAGCTCTGCTCAGCAGGGCTCCTCCACACGGTGGTCCTGCTAGCAGCAGGTCTGGGATCACGGCCAGCGCCCCCCGCAGTGGGGACCCCACTCCCGCCGCCCCTTACCCCCGCGCTCAGTCCCCACGTATGGGCCTGCGGGCCCGGATCTCGGGGGGCGAGCGCCCAAGGGGCTGGGGTCCCACGGGACGCACTGGCCGGGCGGTTCCAGGAGACCCGCTGCTGGGGGGCGCGGGTGCGGGGTGGGGTTTCCAGGGTGCAGGGTTCTCGTCGCCAGGGTCCGGGGTGCAGGGTCCCAACAGGCGCGGATCCGGAGGTGCGGGGGGTCCCGGATCACCTGGGCGGGGGGGGGGGTGGGCGGCGGGGCGACCGAGCCGGGCCGGCGGGGGCGGGGGCCACAGCGAGTGGATGATGCAACCCCCCCACCGCCACCCGCGCCCTCTGATTGGTCGGCGTCCGAATGGCCGCGCTGCGGATTGGCTGGGGCGTCGGAGGCGGGGCCGCGGGGCGGAGATGCCGCGTGGCTGGCGCCGCTCGGTGGGTGGGGGGCGACCTGCGCTGGAGAACCCGGTACCTGGGCGCCCCGCGGGGTCGGCTCCTGCGGCCGAGAGCGCTGCCGGGCGGGGGCGGCGCGTCTGGGTCCCGGCCCGGGCGGGGGGAGCCGGGGCGGGAGGCGCTCGCCTCTGGGGGCCTTCAGGCGCCCGCCGCCCCGCGACCCCTTTGCAGGCCCGCGCGCTCCTTCCTGCTCCACGTGCGCGGGACCTCGGGGAGCTAATCCGGGGACCCCGCTGTAGCTGGGAATCGGGGTCCGGGTCCCCGCTGTAGGTGGGAGTCGGGGCAGTTCCCGGGGCTCCGGGACTGTCGGGCAGCCCAGGGGGAAGTTAGACGGGTTTGGGGGAGGGGGTGGCGCCCGCAGGCGGTGGAGTGGCCGGGCCTGGCACTGCCCCCCTAACTTCTGGCGCCGGATCCTGCCCCGTCTCCCCCGCAGTTCCCACCGCGCAAGGGGCAGCTCCGAGGGCCGTGGGCGCGTCAGACGCCATGAGCGTGGGCTTCATCGGGGCGGGCCAGCTGGCCTTTGCCCTGGCCAAGGGCTTCACGGCGGCAGGTAGGTCCTGCGGCCAGGAGGGCGCCCCCCTTCTGCAGGGGGGGCGGGAAGAGGGGGGTCTCCATAATATGCCTGTGGGACATGGCAGCCCCAAGATGTTTGGGGGGCGGGGTTGCTCTCACCCTGGGTGGTGGGGGTTCTGCTCTCCCTCCTGGGAACGGCCTTGAGGGAGGAACTGTTCCTGCAGGCGTCCTGGCCGCCCACAAGATCATGGCCAGCTCTCCAGACATGGACCTGGCCACGGTCTCCGCCCTCAGGGTAAGTGCTGGGCGACGGGGCCAGTCAGCGGATCTGACATGGGGGGGGGGGGGGGACAGCCTGACCCTGGAGGGCCAGGAGTAGTGGCCCCAGGGGGACACCATGAGACCCTGCTCTGCTCTGGGACCTGGGTGATGTGCAGCCGGTGGAGAGGGGGTGATGGTTAGGAAAGGGGTGCTGGGGGGCCAGACAGATGGGGCCACAGTGTGGGGCCAGGCCAGACACTTCTGGGGGCTGATATAGTTTGGGTTCACTGTAGCTGATTAGACATCCAGACCCAAGGGTGGGCAAGTGCCCAGCTTGGGGCCACCACTCACCCCACAGAGCAGAGGGGGGTGGGGAGGGGCTGAGGCTGGGACAGAGAGGAAGGAGAGAGAGAGAGCAACATCAGTGATGAGAAAGAAACATTGATCAGCTGCCTCCTGCACACCCCACACTGGGGATTGAGCCTGCAACCCGGGCCTGTGCCCTGACCAGGATCGAGCCCTGATCTCCTGGTCACAGGTCAATGCTCAACCACTGAGCCACGCCGGCCAGGCGCTTCCTCTACTTTTGGGTGGGAGGGGCAGTTGGGGTGTCACAGCCCCTTTCCCTGAGCCCCAGGTCTGGCCATGCCCACACCCCAGCAGCCTCTGTGCTGGTCCACATGATGGCTCTTGGCTGAGAGAGATGCTGGGGGTCCGGCCAGCTACGAGGGCAGGCTGAGCCCGCCCCGGCATTCCCCACAGAAAATGGGGGTGAACCTGACGCCCCACAACAAGGAGACGGTGCAGCACAGCGACGTGCTCTTCCTGGCAGTAAAGCCGCACATCATCCCCTTCATCCTGGACGAGGTTGGCGCCCACATCGAGAGCCGGCACATCGTCGTGTCCTGCGCGGCCGGCGTCACCATCAGCAGCATCGAGAAGGTGGGGCTGCGGCCCCGGGTGTGGAGAGCGGGTGGGAGTGTGTGCAGAGAGGCCGGGCCTCCGGCCCTCGATTTGCCCGGGTCTCCATCTGTGAAATGGGCGTGTGGGCCCCGCCCCCAGTGAGAACTCAGGAAATGCTCAGGTGGATGAGCCCGTTCTCACCCTCACCCAGCACCCCTGCTGGCCGGGGCTGGGAGGGACACCCCGCTGGCTTCTCCTACAGAAGCTCAGGGCGTTCCAGCCGGCCCCCAAGGTCATCCGCTGCATGACCAACACGCCGGTGGTGGTGCGGGAGGGGGCCACCGTGTTCGCCACGGGCACCCACGCCCACGTGGAGGACGGCCGGCTCCTGGAGCAGCTGCTGGGGAGTGTGGGCTTCTGCGCGGAGGTGGAGGAGGACCTGATCGACGCCGTCACGGGACTCAGTGGCAGCGGGCCCGCCTACGTGAGGACTGGACCGGGTGCAGGCGGGTGGTGGCTGGGGCCTGGCAGGGGGCAGCTGGGCGTGTGGGAGGACCTCCAGGTGCCTTCGTCAGTCCTTCCCCCTCCTCCCTGCTCCCTGCTCCGGTCCTTCCCCTCCTCCCTGCTCTGGCCGCTTCGGGCAGAGCTGCTGGACAACCATTGCCCGGAGAATTCACCAGGGGACCCTGGCTTAGGCGCCCTCTCCCCACAGGCATTCACAGCCCTCGATGCCCTGGCTGACGGGGGCGTGAAGATGGGGCTTCCCAGGCGCCTGGCAGTCCGCCTCGGGGCCCAGGCTCTGCTGGTCAGTATTGTCCCTGACCCTCTAGTGGGGCCACTCCTTGCTGGGCGTGAGGCTAGTGCCCTGGAACGGAGGGGCCGGCTGTCAGCGTGTGCCTCAGTGGCGGGGCTGGGCGCCGTGTCGTGCGGATGTGGGTGAGCGCCCCACAGCCAACATCCTCTCTCGTCTCCCCCACGCAGGGTGCTGCCAAGATGCTGCTGGACTCGGAGCAGCACCCAGGGCAGCTCAAGGACAACGTCTGCTCCCCCGGAGGCGCCACCATCCACGCCCTGCATGTGCTGGAGAGCGGGGGCTTCCGCTCCCTGCTCATCAACGCTGTGGAGGCCTCCTGCATCCGCACCCGGTGGGCCCCGCCGCCCGCCCCCCACTCCCAGCCCGCATACCGAGCCCTCCCCTCCACCTCACACCCACAGCCTGCCTATCTGGGAAGCTCTTGGCCACGGGCTGCTGGCTCAGCCGCTAACATTCGAGTCTGCTCAGCCCCTCACTCAGCAGATGTGTATCGAGCTCTGGCCTGGTGGTGGGCAGGGCACAGGGAGCCCCGAGGTTCTCTGGGGTGCGGTTTACCGTGCCCTCCCCGTTGTCCTGCCGGGGAGCCTCTGTGGACTGGTGATAACCCTCCTCCGGGCCTGGCTGGGGAGATTAGCAGGTTAGAATGCAGGACCTGGCGCCGGCACCGGCTTGACGAGAGGCCGTGACCGCTGACAGGAAGCCAGAGCGGCATGGAGTCTGGAGTCTAGGCTCAGCATCGCTGTCCCTGGGCTGTGGGCCTTGCTCCCTCCTCCCTCGTGGACACCTGGGCTCGGAGGAGGCGGGTCCCGGTACTCAACCCCCCTCTCTGCCCCTCCAGGGAGCTGCAGTCCATGGCCGACCAAGAGAAGGTCTCGCCCGCTGCCATTAAGAAGACCGTCCTGGACAAGGTGAAGCTGGACTCTCCTCCAGGGGCCGCGCCGGCCGCTTCGGGCCACTCCAAGCTGCTCCCCCGCAGTGTGGCCCCAGCGGGCAAGAAGGACTGAGGGTCCCGCCTGCGCACCGGGCTGCCCTCTGCCTTCCCTCTCCTGGGCTTGGAGCTCCTGCGCTGGGCGTCTTGAGGCCCAAGCCACACAGGGTGTCCTGTCCGCATGGTGGCCTGCCCATGGCTCTGGTCAACTTGGGCCTAGCAGGGTCATAGCCGGGGGGGATACATCACTTCCCAGTGGGAGCCTCCCTGAGCGCTTCCTGGCCCAGAAGAGGGGTGGACTCTCTGAGTGCAACCTCCTCCTTCCTCTGCTCCCAGCTCAGAAGGGGTTCAGCTCCCAGTGTCAGCTGCCCTGGGGCTTGGCCCCTTCCTAAGCACAGAGGTCAAGGTTCCCTGCCCTGAAGGTCCAGCCAAGAGGAGAGCCCCCTCCCACGCCTGCCACTTCCCCAACCTCCTTGCGCAGGGACACCTCCCTCGGTGTCGGGGGACCAGCATCCTGACCTCAGAGGAGGGACCTCGGTTCTTGGCCGGCTGCCAGCTGCCCCTTGCTCCCACTTGACACTTGAGAAGGGCTCCTCGGGCAGGTGGCCTTCCAGGTCCGCGGAGCACTCAGGCCACTGTCTCCCCCTCCTGGCCTTTTAGGTTCAATAAACTGGTTTCCAGCCCTAACTTCTAACTTTGTCACTACGTGTGGAGGGTTGCCCCAGCTGCCCAGAGCGTCATGGCGACCGGGTGTGATGTCAGAGGCTGAGCCAGTAGTAGCCCATGGCCGAGAGCCCTTGCTCCCCAGGTAGCCCGGCTGTGGGTGGGGGGAGGGAGGCTCCCAGGGAGCAGAGGAAGGGTCAGCCCCTCAGGCTGCCGTCACTAGAAGTGTGATGGAAGTTGGTACCGTTGGCTGGGGGGTGGGGGGGGGCGGGTGGAGCGGCCCCAGCTTCTGCATCCTCCATGCCTCCTGACTTAGTCTCCCCAGATTACCCAGGCAAAGGCAGGTGGGGCAGATGGCCCTTAGGGAGCTAGCTGCATTAGGGTTTCTCCAGAAAAGCAGAAAAAATAGATGTTAGAACATATATAGAGGTGGTTATAAGGAAGTGGCTAGCAAGTCCACCCTGCAGGGTGGCCGGAGGCTGGATACCAGACAGCTGACGTGCCAGTTCACAGGCCCTCAGGCAGGGAGCGCCCATGTTGCTGGTGAGTCTGAAGGCAGAATTCTCCAGGGCCGGTCAGGCTCTTTGGCCTTCTGTTGCTTGGAGGAGGCCCACCCACATCACAGAGGGTGATCTGTCCAAGTCTACGACCTAACGTTAATCTCGGGCAAAAACACCCTCACAGAAACAGGCAGTATCTTGGACCAGCTATTTGGGCATCCCGGGTCCCAGGCAAGTTGACACATAAAATTAACTCCCAGGGGAGGCCCCCAAGCTGCTGAGGGTCAGAACCCTTATGGGGTCAGGAGGGCTCACCCTTTGATCACAATAACAAACAGTTACAGAGCATAGAGACAAGAGGAGGCCTGGGCCTCAGGGGCTGACGCGCGCGCGCACACACACACACACACACCCTGCAGGAGCGCTCTGTAGGTGGTGCTGTCCCGGGCGGGGGGGGGGGGGGGGGTGATTGGGGGCGCTGCCAATCGCAGAGCCGCATGCCTGTCCTCTCCAGTTCGCTCCTGCCCCTGGGCCCACTTAGAACCAAGGCCCAGCGCACGTGGGTGGGCGGACGAGGCACTTAGGGGACAAGGGGAGAGACGAGAAACCAGAAAAACGGAAGAAAATGCACAACAGAAAACACAAGGAGCATGACTGCGCCCGCTCCCAGTCTGCCAGGGTGGCCTCGAGAGGCCTGTGCAGGGCTGGCGCGCGTGTGGGAGTGTGTCCCCGCGCGGCCCGCCTCGGGCGTGGCCCAAGCGCAGACCCCCCACCCCCACCCCGGCCCCGCGCAGGTGAAGCGGAGCGGCCCTTGGACACGTGGCCTTTGAAATTGTCAGCGCACCGGCCACTAGGCCCCGCCTCCAGGGCCGGGAAAGGGGCGTGGCCTCAGGAGAGCGCGTTCCCGACTAGAACCGCGAGACCCCGCTCGGGCAGGGCGCGCGTTGCCCGGGCGACGGCGCCCGAGTGCGCAGGCGCATTGCAACCACGCCCCGCCGCCGCCGCCACCGCGCCTTCCCCTTTAAGCCCCGGCCGGTCGCGACGCCGCTTCATGAATGGAGCCCACGTGACCAAACATCATGTGACGTCTGTGGAGCGGCGGCGGCGGCGGCGGCGGCGGCGGCGGCGGCGGATCCCCAGCCTGGTCCGGCCCAGCCTTCCCAGCGCGCTTGGCCCGGCCCGCGCAGGCGGCGAGCCCCCATCCCGGGCGCGGAGCCCCGCGCGGTCCCTCCCCGCGCAGCCTCGGAGCGCTCGCCGCCCCCCGCCCCGGCCTCGGCCCGCCCGGCCCGCAGTGTGGTGGGTGAGTGCGGCTGCGGGCCCGGCCGGACGGGGGGCGGGGGCCGTGGGCGCCCGGGGGCTCCGGGCCGGGGTGCAGCCGGCGGGGCCGCGGCTCCTCCCAGCGGACCTGAGCGGCGCGGGCCGGGCGTCCCTGGCTCCGGGTCTGCCCTGCTCCCCGATGGCGACCGTGCCTCGATTTCCCTACCGGGCAGGGCGCTGCTGGCCCGTGCGCGCGGGGTGCGGGGGGTGGGCCGCGGGGCCGGCGAGGGCGGCGGGCGGGGCGGGCGCGCGGCTTGCTCCACGGAGGCTGGGGTGCCCTGGAGGGAGGGGCGGCCAGGGTGGCGGGAGGAAAGGGTGGGGTCGAGTGGGGCGCCCAGGGCTCCGCGGAGCAGCCGGGCGGCCTCGGTCAGAGCTGCTGATTCATCAGGTGTCTGCACCGCGCCTTCCCGGGCGCCGCGGGCCTCGGCGGGCCGGGGCGGGGGGGCGGCACGGGGGGCGCTAGGACGCCCCTGGTCGCGCCGGCTCGGCTCCGTCGCCCGCGAGCCGGAGCCCGAGGGAGACTTGCTGAGTCATCAGCATGAGGTCACTCGGCTCCTCCCGGTGCCCGGGGGATCCGAGCCGGGGCCCGGGGCCTCCAAGGCCAGGGCACACGAGGTGGCGGGGCCGCGGGGCCGCGGGGCCGCGCGGGTGGTGCTAGGCCCACGGGTCGGGGCGCCGTTTAAGTTTGGCCTGAGGTTCAAGTCCAAGGCCGGGTGGTGAGCAGGCAGCGGAGGGGCCGCGGCGGGAGGACGGGCAGCCCCCGGCCGGTGCACCCCTCGCGGGCGTGCTCTGCCCTGGCAGCCGGCCGGGACCCGCGTCTGGGACAGTTCCCCAAACTGGGAAATAGTTCCCTCCAGCGAGCGAAGGGGAGGAGCCTAGAGGGGCCGAGCTGGGGGCGGGCGGGCTTTCCCTGAGTGGTCTGGTCGGCCAGGCCGCGCGCCCAGGGGCGGGGAAGAGAGGGCAACACCGACCAGAGAGGGAGAAAGAGGCCGGGGCGGCCTGGCGGGAGGGGCCGCCGTGGTGGCGGGAGCAGGAAAGGGTGGGGTCCGGTGGGGAGCCCAGGGCTCCGTGAAAGAGCCGGGCAGAGTACACCCTGTCCTGAGGCCTGGTGACCGTGGACAGGACAGTTGGCAAGCAGGTGCAGCTCTACCAGGAAATTGCCAATGAGAGGAAGCGGCAGGCCTGAGCCATTGGGGACCAAGGTGCTTGGTGAGCAGGTCCTGCCCCCATTGCAGCCGGGCCTGGGGGTGTGAGTGCAGGCTGCAGCTGGTGGGAGCTTCAGGGCACAGCGGGTGGGCTGGGGTGGAAGGATTCGGTTCCCCATCACCCCAGAGCTGTCCCCCTGGAGGTTGGGGCTCAGCGCTGTGCAGGTGAGCAGAGACTGTGGCCCTGGTGGGCGTTCGGCCAGATGATGGGGACAGGTGGGGAGTGACCGCTTGAGGGTGGTGTGTGCCGGACGCCTTTCCCGGGTGTGGGCAGTTCCTGGCCTCTAGGGGTGCGGGAGTGTTTTGTCTAGACCAGCTCCGAGGACCCCTCTTGCCCAGGGGCTCATGTCTGCAGAGGTTGGCTCCCCACCAGCACACACTTACAGGGCGGGGCAAAAGTGGGTTTACAGTGTTGAGTGTATGGAACATGGAGTTTATTCTTGTACTGTTTATTAATTGTCTTGTTTTCCAGACGAACAACTGTAAACCGACTTTTGCCCCACCCTGTACACACACACACACACACACACACACACACAGAGTCCAGGCTTAGAGATGTCAGATGTTTTCAAACACTTCAGCTGATGGTTTGGCTGTCATTTTATGCCCTAGGAAAGTACAGATTCCTGGAGGGGACTTTCTTTCTTTTCTTTTCTTTTTTGTTTTGTTTTGTTAATGTTTTTATTGATTTTTGTTTTTAGAGAAAGAGAAAGGGAGAGGGATAAAGAGAAACATCATCATTGGCTGCCTCCTGCATGCCCCCTACTGGGGATCGAGCCCACAACCCGGGCATGTCCCCTGATCAGGAATCAAAAAGGTGACTTCTTGGTTTGTAGGTCAACGTTCAACCACTGAGCCACACCAGCTGGGCTGGAGGGGTTCTCCGTTACTTTTGCTTCAGTGGAAATTAAGTTTTAGACTTTTCTCCGAGTGGCTTTTGGTGGCTGAGGGCTTCTGGAGGAGGTGGTCGGAGGGAGGAGGGAGTGAGGCTGGACTGGCTTGGGGTACAGAGCGCTCAGGACCAGGCCTGCCGGGGAGGCTTGGCCGTGGGTTTGCAGGCCTGGAGAAGGAGCGGGAGCGGCTGTCCTGCCTCCCGCCGCGTGTCCACGGCCTGGAGTTTGGGCCCAGGGGAAAGGCGTAGAGCTCCCTGCACCTCTACCCTTCCTGACGGGATCTGGGCTGTGGGAGAGCTCAGGGCCATCTCGGCCTGCTCCACAAAGCGGACTCTGCCCTGGGGAGTGAGGGAAGGAGGGTGGCTGAGCCCCAGCTTGAATGAGCCAGAGGGATGGAGCAGCCTCCTCTTGGCCCAGCCTTTGGGGTCCCCTCTGCCTGGCTCCTGTCCATCTCAAGGCTGTTCTGTCCTGTCAGTGTGTGTCCTCAGGTGGGTGGAGGCCAGGCCCCGAGGCCTGCAGCCCTGGCTCCGCGGCCTGCCCCCCCCCCCCCCCCCCCCCCCGCTCACCCCTCCCCCCGCGCTCACGCACACCTTTGATTAGGAGGCCGCTGGCTGCACTTGTGCTGAGTCCAGGCTTCTGCGGAGGTGAAATCTGTCGAGGAGGCACTTTTGTGTGTGATCTCTCCAGGAAGTCACCGCTGCGCTCAGCATTGGGGGTGGAGGGGGCACCGGGGTGGGACAGGCTGGTGCCAAGGCTTTTCCTTTGGGACAGGACCCGGGGCAGCGTCCCTGCCCTCCAACTCCTGCTGCTGGGAGGGCCTGGCCCTGAGGACCTTCTCGCCTGGGGCCTCCTGGTGCCAGGCTGGGTGGGTGGGGCCTGCCATGGAGCCCACTTGTGCCTTCACTTCCCCAGCCCGCACTTCAGCTTCCAGGGAGAGTAAGACGTGCACCCCCTGCCCCCCAGGCCACCTGCCTGAAGAGCTTGTGGCTCCTTCCAGGAGGGAGACTGTGGTCAGTCTCAGCCATGCAGCCAGTTACCTCCCTGCATCGAACCCGGAAAGTGGAGCGCAAAGTGGGGGGGGGGGGGGGGGGCAGCCAATCTGGTGGCGGCCGGCTGAGCCAGGAGGCGCAGGACGAGGCGAGCAGGATTGTTCTTGGCAGGGCTTTGGGAAGCAGAAAGGGAGGTGGGGTGTGGGGGAAAGGTGGGTGCTGACTCTGGACAGGGGGCCTGAGAGCAGTCAGTGGCCCAAGGGGCTGAGCCGGCCCCCTGAACGGCTCGCTGCGGGCACTCTTGTGAAACACCCTGGACAGGGGGGCAGGGGCACGAGATGCTGCAACCCAAAGCCACAGGATGGTTACTCCATCAGCAACGGGGCGCCCCGCCTGCCACCTGCAGGGTGGGGAGCTCCCCCAAAGCTTCGGACAGCCCACTTACCACACTTCAGAGTGAGGCGTCTGAGAGACTCGGGACCCCGCTCGTCCTCCCCTCTGCCGAGTCCCTGTTGGGGATGACCCCCTGAGCCTTCGTGAGAGCAGGGCTGTGACCCAGGCCGACTTGGGTCAGTGGCTATAGGAGGCTGGGCCCTGGGCACACACGTGCAGGGCTGCTGGCTCCGGCCCGAAGGCCCTCACCTGCTGTCGGCCAGGCTGGCCTTTCTGGCCCCAACAGCTCTCTGCTCTGGCTGCTGGCCCCCTGGGGCAGTGTTGGCTGGCGGCCTGGGGAGTGCCAGGCGGTGAGGGAGCAAGGGAAGCGCTGAGTCAGCATGACTCGCCAGGAACAGCCGCTCTGGGGTGCACACAGGGTTATTTTTAAAGCTCAGGGCTTCCTTCTAGGCTGGCCCCTCGACCCTCTGACCTCTCCCCCGGCCCCTTTCCTTGCCTCTGCCTCCCTCACTGCCCTTCAATCCCCCTTTCCCCTTGGACCCTCCTGCGCTCCCCCGGGTTTGCTCGGGGCAGATAGCCCAGCTCAGGAGAGGCAGGGGCAAAGGTCGGTCCTCAGGCCGGGTGTCGGGGACTGGGCAGGTGGGGGCAAGGATGGCGGTGTCCAGGGTCCTGACCTCTGCCCCCTGTCTCGCAGAGTGCCTGCTTGCTGTGCCCCCGGGTTATGACGACCCCCAATAAAGGAAGCAAGGCCTTGAAGGTAAGCAGGCAGGGTGGGCGCCTCCCGGCTGGGGTGGCACCAGGATGGGGGCTGCCGGGCCGTGACCTGTGCCCCGTGCCCCCAGGTGAAGCGGGAGCCTGGCGAGAATGGCACCAGCCTGACGGACGAGGAGCTGGTGACCATGTCGGTGCGGGAGCTGAACCAGCACCTGCGGGGCCTGTCCAAGGAGGAGATCGTGCAGCTGAAGCAGCGCCGGCGCACGCTCAAGAACCGAGGCTACGCCGCCAGCTGCCGAGTGAAGCGGGTGACGCAGAAGGAGGAGCTGGAGAAGCAGAAGGCGGAGCTGCAGCAAGAGGTGGAGAAGCTGGCCTCGGAGAATGCCAGCATGAAGCTGGAGCTCGACGCGCTGCGCTCCAAGTACGAGGCCCTGCAGACCTTCGCCAGGACCGTGGCCCGCGGCCCCGTGGCACCTGCTCGGGGCCCCCTGGCCGCCAGCCTGGGGCCCCTGGTCCCTGGCAAAGTGGCTGCCACCAGCGTCATCACAATAGTAAAGTCCAAGACGGACGCCCGGTCGTAGGGACGCACGCTGGCCCAGGCGGGTCTGGGAGGGGCCGTTAGGCACGCGGCGCATCCGGCAGCCCTGTCCTCTTCCTCCTCCTCTCCCTGTCCTACCTCCTCCCTCCCCTCAAAGCACAACCTGCACCCCAGGGGCGCCGGGCTGAGCCCTTGATCTCGTCGTCGTTGTCATCGTGTGTTTTGTACGTTGGGATTGGTCAGTTCAGCGGTGACTGGGGTCGCCCCTGCCCCCTTTGTACCAAGGCCACATGGCTTGGAGCCCAGAGGTGGCCCTTGGGGAGCAGAGAGAAGGAGCGAGCGAGCTGTGGGACTCGCGTGTCCCTGAGCAGGGAGGGCTCCAGGGCAGGGGCTGCTCGCTGTCCTGAGTGGCCTCCAGGCCCTGAAGGCTGCCGGGCTGGCAGGGGGCTGGGCAGTTCACTCACAGATGGACTCTGCTCCTGGGAGCAGGTGTCCTGAGGGCCCTGGACAGGTGGGCCACCAGCCTGGGTGCCGGGCATGGGGCACCGTGTGGCTGTGGGCCAGGGGCCTGGGCACGCTTGCCTGGCGCCTTGCACTGAACAAGACCAAATCACTGGTTGTGAGCGTACGTGAGGGTGTGTCAGTGTCCTGCGATGGTCCGTGTCACTGTTTACATGACCTATTTGTGTGGTTACTAGCCCTTTATTTAAAAGAGAGAAGTTCCTTTTACGAAGTTATTAAATTATATGTTTAAAAGCTAAAGGAAAAAAAAAAGAGCTGCAGAGTATTTATAAAACTGTCTTTTTACAAAAAAATAAGAAAAAAAACAAAGCAAGAACAGTTGACCCTATAAATGGAAAAGGGAAGAAAGTATAATAGAAACTTTGCTAGTTTAAAAAAAGAAAAAAAAAAAAAAGCCCTTTCTTGTAAACTTACAGACAAGTCTTTGTGGCTGTTGAAGTTTAGTTTTTATATACACAGAGTTATCAGATGTTATTTATAAAACTTAGTTTAAAAAAGAAAAAAAAAAAAAAGCCAAGCCGCGAGCGACCACAGGCGCGTCCCGACGTCCTCCTTGCTGACTTGCAGTTGTACCGAAAGTGACTTATCCCCCCTCCGCTTCCGGCGGGGCCGCGTCGTCCGTGCCTGGTGAGGTCTTGTGCAGCGTCTGTGCTGGTGCTTCTGGTGACCTTTGACCTGTGGGTGTCACTTGTGTCTGTTTTCCTGTGTTTGTTTTTGGATTTGGTTGTCTTTTGCTTCTGCTGGCTTGCTGGGCGGGGGCTGGGGTGCCGGGCGGGACCTGCTCCAGCAGTTTGGGAGGGTCTGTGCCTACCAGCCTGGCCTCCCCCGCCCACCCCCCACCCCCCCGCCGGCCCCAGGCTTCCAGGGGGTCCCACCCCTGCTGCCCTTGCTCTCGCATGTGTGTGTCAGGTTTGGGCTGGTCCAGCCGCGGGTCAGGTGAAACGGAGTTATCCTGGGGCCCCCCACGCTGCTTCCCTGCCCCCACCCTGGCCCTGGGTGGGGTTTTGCAGACCAAGGCATCAGTGTCGGTGCCCACGGGGCCACGGCCACACTGCCTGCCCCCTGCCGTCTTCCTTCTGGTGTCCAGTCAGCCTGCTCGGCTCCGGCCGCTGACCCCAGCTTTGTTCCTCTAGGCTGCCCACCAGCCTCGGCTGGGGCAACCCAGGGCCCCCTTTTCCTAGAACTGTGTGTGCTGCGGGGCGGTGCTTCCTAGGCAGGCCCAGGTGGTTTGGGAGCCCACCTGGGGTGGCTCCTGCCTGCCTCAGGGCCTGGGGGTCTCCACAGTGTCAGACAAGGGCTAGCCTCCAGGGCCAGGGCTGTCCCTCCTCTCCCCAGAACATGCTGGCAGCTCGGCCTCGGGCTGTCTTCCGCCTCCTTCGGGATCTGTGTCTTCCAGGGATCCGATGCTCGGCTGTGGAGGTCCCTCTCTCGGGCTGAGCCCCCTCCCGCTCCTGGCCGCTCAGTGGAGGCAGCAGTCTCCCAGGTTTGGCTGGGAGAGCTCCTTGTGGGCCCGTGACAGGGCTGCCTGTGGTGTCTGCCCCAAGAGGCTCCTGCCGTCTCTGGGCCTTGGCCTGTTCTTGGGGTTACTGTTGGCTGCTTGGGGGCCTAGAATCCCTGAAAAGCACAGACGTGCAACCGTGCGGCCTGGCAGGGCCTCACCTGGTGGGCAGGGGTTCTCATCCCGCGTGCCTGTGGGGTGGAGCCGGGTGTGCTGGAGGCTTCTGCCCTCCCTCCCGATGGGCTGCCCCGCGTCCCGGCTGCTCAGAGGCGGTCCTGGCTGTGCCGGGTCAGCCTGTCGTGGAGGTTTTGACTGTTGACTCCAGATGGCTTAGTGGCCTCCTCTCCAGGCTGCCTCTGACGGGTAGGATCCAGGCGACAGGTGGTGGCGGTGGTGGTGGCGGCAGCGTGTTGGAATCGCATGGTAACAGTCAGTCCCTAGAGAGAGGTCCTGCCCGTCCTGGGGTGGGAGGGACAGCATCCATGTCCATGGGCTGCTCCCACTGCTGTCCTGCCCGGAGCCGGGTCCGTCTCTGTGCACATCTGCCGGGCCGTGGACTGGAGGGCGGAGGGTGGAGGTGTGTGAGGAAGGTGAGAGGAGGGGGGGTTGAGAGTGGGTGGTGCTGAGCAGAAATTGCAGGTCATGGTTTGGTTTACAGAAGCTTCTGGAGTTGGCGAGGCCATGTCCCCGGCAGGGTTTTGGGCTTGAAGCAGCTGCCCCTGGGTCTGGGGGAGCATCCAGTTCTCGCCAGGCCAGCCCGCGGGCCCCTCCCCTCCCCTTCACCTCGGTCTCTTCACAGCAGGCTGTGTCCGCCTGTGACTGGTGTGTCTCTGGTCCTTGGTTAGGTTTTCCCGCTGTGAGTGTGTTGTGTTCCCTCTTTCTCTCCACTTTTCTGACACAGTGAATCGAGGGCTTTGGCCAGAGCCAAGAATCCCAAACGTGTCCACTAAGTAAACCATGCTGTGCTCCCCTCCCGCCCTGCCCTCACCCGACTCCTCCCTCACCCCAACATGGACTCAGATTTCAGAGCAGAACCTGTGGGCACGGTCAGCTCCTGCCCCGAGCCCGGCCCCAAGGAGACCCCCCGGGCCTGGCTGCTGCTGCTGGCACTGCCCTTTGTACCGGTGGGAAGACACGGCTGCTCCGTGCGGCAGCTACGAGGTGTGCTGGCTCAGCCTCCGTGGTCAGTGCCCAGCCCGCAGCCCGGGCTGCCGTAGCTCCGGGCCCGGTGGTCCAGCCCGTTGGTCTCGGCGGCCTCCGGCTCCGAGGTGGCTGGCTGGTCAGAGCTCCCTCCACAGCTGGGAAGCCTGAACCACAACCTACAGCACCATTTCCGCCTGGGACCCTGTAAGTTACTTTTTTAGGCTGTGGTTTAGTGAAAGGAACCAACACATTAACGATTTTTTCCCCTCAGAAGCCACTGACTATTTCTTTTTGGCGCGTTTTTGCCTTCCTGTTGGCCGTCTGGTTTGGGAACAGATGGGGAGACGGGTGTGCCCTTGGGGCAGATGGCCTGGCCTGGGTCCTGGGCCTGTGCTGCCCCCGCCCCGGAGCAGCAGCCTCGGTCCAGCCCCTCCCTCCCACCCCTCGCCCTGCGAGTCCCCGAAGCCTTTAACCAAACGAGCGGGCGCAGCGCCGCCTCCTGGATCTTAGGGCCACAGGACAAGGGCTGCCCGGTGGGCCCCGCTCTCCCGGCGCCGAAAGGGTGGGTCCTGGGTCACCGCGGCCGCCCGGGAGGCTGCGGCGGGAGGGGTGCCGCCGGGAGGGGTGCCGGGCCTGGGCGCCCCGCCCCGCGCAGTATTTATTGCTAAGTTATTGTCCGGGGCGGCGCGGCCGGGCCCAGGTATTTATTGCTGTACATAGTGTATGTTTGTGACATATAAGGTTTTCTTTATTTTGTATATGATCAATAAACACCTTTTAAAAAGACGAGCAGGTGCTTTCTTGGGGCCGCGCGCGGGGGGCGGGGCCGGGAGGGCGGGTCTCGCGCGCATGCGTCGGCGCAGCGCCTGCCGGGAGGCGGAAGCGGAAGCGGAAGCGCGCGTCTGCCCGGAGCGATGGCAGCCGGAGGCCCGAGCCGCTCGGAGCGCAAAGCAGCGGAGCGGGTGCGCCGGCTGCGGGAGGAGCAGCAACGGGAGCGCCTCCGCCAGGTGCGCCCTCCCCGCCCCGTGCCCCTCCGCCGCGCCCGGTGCCCGGCGCCCTCACCGCCCGCCCCGCGCCCGGTGCCCCGCGCCCTCACCGCCCGCCCCGCGCCCCGCGCCCGGCGCCCGCGCCCTCCCCGCCCGCCTTCCCCGCCCCGCGCCCGGCGCCCCGTGCCCTCACCGCCCGCCCCGCGCCCTCACCGCCCGCCCGCAGGTGTCGCGCATCCTGAGGAAGGCGGCGGCCGAGCGCAGCGCGGAGGAGGGCCGGCTGCTGGCCGAGAGCGAGGACCTGGTGACCGAGCTGCAGGGCCGGAGCCGGCGGCGCGAAGGCCTGAAGCGGCGGCAGGAGGAGGCGAGTCCTGCCGGGCCCCTCGGGGGGTGGGGAGGCGGGGGGGCGGGCCGGGCTGACGACCTGCGCGGGGTCCCGGCAGGTGTGCGACGACCCCGAGGAGCTGCGGAGGAAGGTGCGGGAGCTGGCGGGCGCCGTGCGGAGCGCCAAGCACCTGGTGGTCTACACGGGCGCGGGGATCAGCACGGTAGGCGCGCGCGGTGGGCGCCGCGCGGCTGGGGCGGGGCGGGGCGGGGCCGGGGCCCCTTTGGGTGTCGGACCCACGGACCGAGCGCTGTACTCGAGAAGCTGAGTAAAGCTGCCGATTCGCTGAAAATTCTCTTTGAAAGCGGCTCTGAGGTTCTTTCTTGGCCTCGAGAAGCTCGAAATGACCCCATTTGAGACTTCCCGGTAGGGGAGCGTGTCTGAAGGCTGAGCCCCGTTTTGTGCCCAGTTAGAGGTGAGGAAGGAATGTAAACGCGGACACAATGGCTTTAGTGCCTGCGGGCACCCCCTCATTTGGAGTTGAGGTCAGTGTCCGTCCCCAGGTCCCGAGGGCAGGGCCCAGCCAAGTCTGTGTCCTGGCTCCCAGTCGCTGTTTCCCTGCGTGTCCAGGGAGGGGCGTGGAAAGCAGGGCAGTGGGAGTCAGGGAGCGCCCCCCCCCGCCCCCCTCCCCTCCCCGTGAGGCAGAGACGCTGGGTTTTGAGCAGTTTTACTGAACGTGCATGACGGAATGTGCATGATGAGCGAGCTTTGTAGGGCGGGCCGCACATCATTTGCCTAATTGATGGGGTGAGCTGCGTGTGAGCTACCTGGAGGCCCAGCAGAGGGAACACCCGGCCTGGAAAACCCGCAGGTGACAATAATGCGGCGGAGAAGCGAATGCCTGTCCCCGAAGCCAGCCGTGTTAGGTCACTAGAAGTGCAGTCACGACCCAGCTCTTGTAGGAGGCAGCACCGGGTCCCAGCCCTGAAAGAGGGTGAGATTTTACGGGCGAAGAGGCGAGTAGGACACTTCCAACAGGGATGAGTGCAGGGCCCGCAGAAAGGAGTCTGCTGCGTTGACTGCACCAACGTACCAACAGCCGGCGGTGCCGGGCGGGCTGGCCGCCTCCCTCCACAGTCCCTGTCAACTCCCGTCGGGACGTCCCTCCTTAAAGAGCCATAGGGGCTGCTCGTCCACGTGCTCTGAGCAGCACCGTTTGTGAGCGTTCCACTTTTCCATGGGAGTCAGAGCTGCCGATTGAACTTGAGCAGGAAGGAGACGGGGCTCCCCAGAAGGGAGATCATTCAGCCTGAGCCGTCCAGTCCAGGGCCCCTTGATCCTGGCGCACCTGCTCGGCCTGCCTGTCCCGTGGCTCCGTTTCACTGGCCTGGGAACGTGGGAAATTCGATAGGTGTTTATCTCACCTGAGAGGTTGGCAGTCTTTGTGGAGGAGGAGCAGAAAGTACTTATCTCGCCAGGAGGGGACAGAGGAGGGACCCCGCTTAGCGGTCACCTTTCTTCTGCACTGGCTAGAACCTGGGGCCCGGTGGGCCTGACCAGCTGCCCCCTCAGTGTGGAGGACAGTGTGCAGAGCGGGCTGGAGGAGCCCCCAGAGGAAGCAGGGCTCACTGGAGTCTGGAGGGAGGAGCTGGACCAGGTGGGAGCAGGGCCCAGGCAGAGGGAAGGACGGCGTGAGGTCCATTCCACCTGGGCTCCGGCGTGTAGACTAGGAAACGCTCCGTCCCCTGTGGGAGGAGGAGAGGCCAGTGCAGGGCCGGCCTGAACGTGTTGGGAGCAACGTTTGCTCCTGCTCTTGGGGCCGGCGGTGCCCGTGGTGGCGCCTACTCACGGGCTGATCTTCTCCCGAGCCTGCAGGCAGCCTCCATCCCAGACTACCGGGGCCCGAACGGAGTGTGGACGCTGCTTCAGAAGGGGAGGCGCGTGAGGTAAGCGGCCCGCACAGCCTTCCCCGAGCAGAGCAGGGGCCGCAGGGGCCTGACGTCCGCTTCCCTTCCACCTGGCAGTGCCGCCGACCTGAGTGAGGCGGAGCCCACCCTCACCCACATGAGCATCGCCCGCTTACACGAGCAGAAGCTGGTAAGAGCCCCGCGTGGCTAGCTGTGTGCTCGCGTGCCCACAGCGCGGGCCTGGGCCACCTCCTTGCCTGTCAGCCCACCCAGTGGTGTAGCCTCCTGGCTTAAGCCTCCCTCTAATCCCCCCACTTCCTCTCAAGAGCAGGGTGGGCGGTGCAGACGTTGACCCTCCAGGCTGCTCCACGTATCTCAGAGCTGTGGGGGGCGGGGGGCCCTGAGTCCTGCTGGGACCAGCCTGCTTCTCAGGTTTTGCCTTAGAGGCTCCGTGCAGGTTGGACTTGCCACTGGTTTGGGGGCTCTGGCACAGGACGGTTGTCCCGCTGCCTGCTGCTGCCCCGCCCTGTCCCCTCAGGTGCAGCACGTGGTGTCTCAGAACTGCGACGGGCTCCACCTGCGGAGCGGGCTGCCGCGCTCGGCCATCTCGGAGCTCCACGGGAACATGTACATCGAGGTGAGCAGTCCCCGGGCCGGGGCGCCGGGGGGCCAGCGCCCACACTCACCGTGCCCTCCCTCCTCAGGTCTGCACGGCCTGCACTCCCAACAGGGAGTACGTGCGGGTGTTCGACGTGACGGAGCGCACCGCCCTGCACCGGCACCAGACCGGCCGGGCCTGCCACAGGTGCGGGGCGGCGCTCCGCGACACCATTGTGCACTTTGGGGAGAGGGGGACCCTGGGGCAGCCTCTGAACTGGGAGGCAGCCACCCAGGCTGCCAGCAAAGCAGACACGATCCTGTGTTTAGGCTCCAGCTTAAAGGTACACAGACGGCACTGCGGGTGGGCAGGGGGCGGAACTGCTGGCAGCTGGCCAGCGTGGCATGGAGCCCAGCTTCCTGTAGCTTGTTCCCTGGTGTGTGTGTCGTCTGTCTGTCCCTCCGTCCGTCCGCACAGGTTCTAAAGAAGTACCCACGCCTCTGGTGCATGACTAAGCCCCCCAGCCGGCGGCCCAAGCTCTACATTGTGAACTTGCAGGTAACGTGCTGCCGAGAGGCCCCTCCTTCACCCCTGGGATGCCCCGTCCAGCACTCGCGCACCGTGGGGGGCTAGCCGAGTAGGACCCAGGCTGCGGGCATTGGAGGACTGAGCTGCTGACCTCACTGGCCTTCCCCTGTCCCCAGTGGACCCCAAAGGATGACTGGGCTGCCCTGAAGCTCCACGGGAAGTGTGATGATGTCATGCAGCTCCTGATGGACGAGCTGGGCCTGGAGATCCCCCCCTACAGCAGGTAAGGGGGTGCAGGCGCATGCCCCCCTCCTGCCCCTGTGTGGATGGGACGTGTCTGTCTGCTCTCGAGCTAAGCCTAAAGAAAGTTCTGAGGTGTTGCACGCAGTATCTGAGGCGTGATTGCAAGTGGTGGCCTGCAGGGGCCAGCCAAGGTCCCTGGCTGATGGGACTCCCTGCGGGAGAGGGAGTCTCCGTGTGTCTGGACGTTCCCCCTTTACCTCAGACAGCCCGGAGGGGAGGCCCCTAAAGGGACATGCTCTCGGCAATCCTAGTCCAACAGACTCGTGCACTCGGTTTGGGGAGCTGGCAGACTTGGGGAAGCTTAAAGAAACTGTTCCTTAATGCAGAACTTGTGATAATTTAGACATGGTGTGTGTGTTGAGTAAAAAGTTTACACTTTCTTTCTCTGTGAATTTTCAGGGTCTTATAGGGGAAATCAGTAACTTCTTTTAATCAAAGGGTTCAAGAATTAAGGATCCCTTCACCTTCTGGGCCTGGCAATTCTTGTATGTTATGTTTGTGGTGTTCTGTAATGTGGGCCTATTGTGTACTGTACTTTTTTTTTTACATTAACTTAGCTCATTTTCCTTATCAGTGCTTATCTGTATCTTAAGTTTATAATATGTGGTTCTACATCTCAGACACATGACCTCACCCGGGAGCCCGTAGGCCACACCTCCCTAGTCAGCTGGCCTTCCCACCTGCCAAGCCTCACAGTCTGGGAAGGGGGAGAGGGTCCGGTCCCCCTGCCCCTGGCCGTGCGAGTGAGAGGTGGGGCCCAGAGCTGCTAGTGCCTCATCCCTGCTGGGACGACTGCCTCCACCTGCGCATGCCGCCGTAGCCGCCGAGGACACGCTCTGCCAAGGCGGAGCAAGGGGGGAGCTTCCCCCTCTTGCAGCTCAGGACAGTGGGGCTACCTCCATGCAAAGCCCGCCACGGCTCAGACAGGGCGGGAGCAGGGTCACCTCAGTCAGCGTTCCTGTCCTGGGCAGGCGGTGATGGCGGCTTCCGGTCACACTGACCCGGCTCTCCCTCTCGGCAGGTGGCAGGACCCCATCTTCTCCCTGGCAACCCCCCTGCGGGCTGGTGAAGAAGGCAGCCACAGTCGGAAGTCGCTGCGCAGAAGTCGAGAGGAGCCCTCACCTGGAGACCAGGGCGCACCACTCAGCTCAGCCCCCATCCTAGGTGGCTGGTTTGGCAGGGGCTGCGCCAAAGGCACAAAAAGGAAGAGAGTGACATAACCTGGTGCTCGAGTGAGAACAGCAGTTGGCACTTTGCAGATGGCTGGACCTCGGATCCAGGGGCTGGTGGCACCCAGCACGCCGGGAATGCCCCGCAGGTCCAGTGAGAATGCTCTGGGGGTGACATTGTCACGGTGACACGCTTAGCCATTTGTCTGGGTGGGGAGCCCCCTTGCACTGCTGTGCTTCCCCGCCTGCCTCCCCCACCGGTGGGCCTGGGTGCTGACCAGTGGCCCATCCAGTCTGTCCTAGAGGTGGCAGCCACGCCGTCCTGTGGGAACAGAACTCGGGGTACATCACACCTGGCCAGCCAAGAGGAAGCACTGGCTGCCTTGCCTCCTCCTCCAGGCCAGTCTCAGGGGCCTCAACTCTATTTCTACTTCCTGTAAAAATGCTCACTTTGTAGCAGACTTTTTCCTGTGTTGGTATGCGGCCTCAGCAGACCTTTGTGTTGCTAATAAACATCTCTGCGCTGTCTCCCGCATCACTGCGTGACTGCCCGCCTGTCGCTGTGGGAGCCCGGGCCCCGCTGGGCTCCTCGCCGGGGCGGGAGGTACTCGGGTGGTTCTGCCCCGCGCCCTCCGCCAGGTGCGGGCCGAGGGACGGCGCGCGTACGCCATTGGCTGCAGGCAGAGGGGAGGGGCGTGGCCAGGTTCTGGCGGCGCACACTATTGGCCGCGAGCGGAGGGGCAGGGCTCGGTTAATGGAAGGCCGCTCGCGCACGCCATTGGCCGCGTGAGACAGGTGGGGCGGGAGGGGGCGGGGCCCCGGGGCGGGGCCGCGCTCTCGATTGGCCGCCCGTGGCGGGTGAGTCCCGTGTGACGGCGCGTGCGCGGGGCAGGGCGGCGGCGGCCGCTCGGAGTTAGGGGTCCGTCCGTGCCGCGCCACTGCCGTGGTGACATGATCCGAAACGGGCACGGGTTGGCGGGCGGCGCCGAGCAGCCGGGCCCGGGGAGCAGGCCCGCCGTGCGGGTGTGGTGTGACGGCTGGTGAGCGCGGCGCCGGGCGTTGGCGGGCGGGGCCGCGGGGGCCGCTGCGCTGCCGCCCGAGGCGCGTCTTGAGCCGCTTTCGCCCGGGGGCCTTCGTCCGGGCCTCGGTCGGCCTTCTCCGGCGGGGGAGGGCGGCAGGCGGCGGACTCGGGCTGCGGGCTCCGGGATGGAGGACGCCTGGGGCCCGGGCCGCCCCCGCACGGCAGCGGGGCGAGAGGGTCCGCGCCGCAGGCGGGCGCTGGCCCAGCCCGGGGACTGGGCTCGGAGAAGCGCCCTTCCCCGCGATTAGCGGGAGCTGCACCCCGATCCCGGCCGCCGGCCCAGCTCGGGACCGTGGTGGCGCCACTCGCGTGCGTCCGATTGGAGGGGTTTCACCGGGGCCGCCCTCCCTGGGGTCTGTGTCAGGCTCCCCGACGTGCCCGGCCCAGCACCAGACCGGCTCTCCCGGGGGTCTGGGCAGCGTCAGCAGGGGAACAGCGTGGCCCCGGGACCCCCGTGCCGCCCGTGGGTGCCCATCCGCCCGCCGGCGAGCCAGACAGCGGAGTTGGGTGATGTTCGGGGCTGTCAGTGGGTAACGCCGCCTTTGCGATGGAAGCAGAGGGGGAAACACACCCTGGGGGCGGGGCCCCTGCCCTGGCACCTGCATCACCGTGGGGAGAGGGAGCGTGGCTGCGTGTCCGTGGACTCTGACCTTGGGCCTGGCCAGGCCAGGTGTTGGCCCCGGCAGGTCACAGCCACAGGGCTGCAGTGACAGGACGCAGCCTGGACCCAGGGCACCTGCACTCGGTGCACCCCCGGCCCAGCCTGTCCAGTGGGCACAGGGGTCACGGGCCCCAGGGCCCTGGATTTGGACTTCCCTCTTCCCTTACCCCAGGGCCAGAGCCCTGTGCCCCCGGTGGGTGTGGGGAGGCGGAGCTGACAGGTGGCACTGAGCGGAAGCAGGGACAGCTTCTTCTGCTCCGAGGCCACGGGAGGCTGGAAGGAGTAGGAGGAGCTTGAGGGCACCGCTCCGCGGTGTGGTCTCCCCAGCACACGGGGCAGGTGGGACCCAGCGGGACAGCGGCTGCTGTCTGCGGCCGTCAGCTGAGTTCACTCGGAACCGGGCCGGATCTGAGGCTAAGAGCTCTGGGATCAGGTGACAGGGAGGTGGTGGTTGGCCTCCCGAGGTCCTGGGAGCTCGCAGGGTTCCCAGAGCCAGCGGCTGGCCTTGTTCATTGGTTAGACTTTGCTTCCTGTTGGCCCCAGAGACTGGCCCCCGTCTCAGGGTGGTCGAGTTCAGCTCCCCTCTCATGCTGCAGCTTAAAGGGACCACCCATGGTGCTGTGAGTTTAGGAGGGGGCCCGGGGGCCCGGGGGCCACGCAGGCCCCGGGTGGGGGCCGGAGCTGTGCTGTGTGCTCTCAGTCCTCAGGACCCGCAGGCCGTGGCCCTGCTGAGTCTGGCCCTGGACCCCGGGACCGGCTGTGCAGAGCTGAGCACCCTCCCCTCCAAAAGCCCAGACTCGCCAGACCCTGGGAGCAGTTCCCAGTGGCGGCTTCTCAGAGGAGCCAGCCTGTGCTCCTGGCCGCCCACAGGCCACCCGGGACTGACCGCCCTGCCCTCTCCACAGCTATGACATGGTACATTATGGCCACTCGAACCAGCTGCGCCAGGCACGGGCCATGGGGGACTACCTCATCGTGGGCGTGCACACCGACGGTAAGTGGGGCTGCGCCCACCTCCACCCCATGCCCGCCTGGGGTTGCCCACTCGCCAGGGGGCCCCCACCATCCCCTGGGATGCTGGAAGGGGAGGGGCCACCTGCGTGGTGGTGGCCACTTGGGCGTGGAGGGCGCGTCGGTGTGGACGCGACCTCCGTGGTCACCACCCTGCCTCCTCTCCTCTCTGGCCCAGAGGAGATCTCCAAGCACAAGGGGCCCCCAGTGTTCACGCAGGAGGAGAGGTACAAGATGGTGCAGGCCATCAAGTGGGTGGACGAGGTGGTGCCGGCGGCGCCCTACGTCACCACGCTGGAGACGCTGGACAAGTACAGCTGCGACTTCTGTGTCCATGGCAGTGAGTGGGCGGGCACAGGCGGGGGTGGGGTGGGGTGGGGGAGTGTCACAGGAAGTGCTGGGCCTCCTTAAGTCGGGGCAGCCTGAGCCCTCGGGGTCCCTCCCCGGAAATGAGCGCAGGCCACAGGGCAGGCCGGGGCGGGGCTGTGAGCCTGAAGGTCTTGGCGTTGGACTGACAGTCCTGCTCCATGTGCCTGTCACCTCTCAGATGACATCACCCTGACTGTGGACGGCCGGGATACCTACGAGGAAGTGAAGCAGGCGGGGAGGTACAGGTGAGCCGACCACCCTCCCTTTCCGGGGGGTGGGGGGATGTGTGGCTATGGCCTGTGTTGCTCTCGGTCCTGCCGGGATGGGTGCTGCACCGCAGAGCGGCCCAGTTTCCGCTCATGCCCAGAGCCTCAAGGAGATGCTGTCTGTGCACAGCACCCCCAGGAGGCAGGTGACCGGAGAGCTCCGACCCCACCCCTGTTGTCACCTCTGTCCCCAGAGAGTGCAAGCGCACCCAGGGCGTGTCCACCACGGACCTCGTGGGCCGCATGCTGCTGATGACCAAGGCCCATCACAGCAGCCAGGTGAGGCTGGGTGGGGGCGCAGAACCGCCGAGGTCCCCTCACCCAGGACGTGGCTGGAGGGGAGGAGCTCCAGGCTGCGGTCCGTGTCCTGGGCGTGGCCACACCTAGAGGGGGAGGCCCAACCCTCACCCTTCCTTGCAGGAGATGTCCTCGGAGTACCGGGCGTACGCAGACAGCTTCGGCAAGGTGAGTGCTGCTGGAGCCTCGCCTGCCCCCGGCTCCCTGCCTCCGGGCGCTGACCAGGGACTGACCAGCACTGCCTGGAGGAGGAGCAAGGACGGCCCACAGACAGGCGGCCTCTAACCAGGCGGCCTGGCCCTCTCTCCCTTTCTAGCCCCCTCACCTGACACCTGCCAGGGAGATGCTTTTCTCAGAAGGTTCCTCCCAGGTGACCAGCGGTGGCCTCAGGGTGCGGGGTCCGCAGGAGTGCTGTGTCCACGGCCTCCCTCCTAGACCTAGGTGGTGGCGGCTGCAAAGCCCTCTGTGGCCATGGGGCCCCTGCCCAGCGTAGCCTGGATGTGTACTGGGCACTATGGCCAGCCCTCCGTGTCCCTGCCTGAGACACCTGCCGGGAAACAACACCTGAGCCAGTGAACAGCTGGCAGGCTGGGCTGGGGTTTAGTCCTGACCTGTGGCCCCCACACCTGCTGCCTCCATCCCACCCCCGTGCCTCCCAAGCAGGCGTGCGCAGCAACCCCAGACTCAGCGGAGGGGACAGGCGAGGGACCCATCTGCGAGGCCTCTATGGCTGACCGGGGACTCCTCTCGGCTTATAGTGCCCAGGGGGGCGGAACCCCTGGACCGGGGTGTCCCAGTTTCTGCAGACGTCCCGGAAGATCATCCAGTTTGCCTCTGGGAAGGAGCCGCAGCCGGGGGACACGGTCATCTATGTGGCGGGTGCCTTCGACCTATTCCGTATCCTCTGGCCTGGGCAGGGGCTCTGCGTGCCCACACCTGCCCCAGGGAGGCCTCACTGATCTCGCGGCCCTGGGGGGTGGCTCAGGCACTGAGGGAGGTGGGAGGGCGGCTGCCCCTGTCCTGCTACTTGTTCCTGAACCCGGCACAGACATCGGGCACGTGGACTTCCTGGCGAAGGTGCATGGCCTGGTGGAGAGGCCCTACGTCATCGCCGGCCTGCACTTTGACCAGGTCTCTGCCCCGGGGAGCTGGTCTTGGGGACCCTGGAGGTGGGCTTGGGAGCCATGGGGAGCGAGGACCCGGCTGCTGACGGAGGCAGAGACGAGCTGAGCTGGGGCCTCTTCCTGGGCAGGGTTGTCCTCTCAGCCTTCCCCCCGCTGGCAGGTGCCCCACCAGGGTCGCTGGCAGGGTGCCTGCTGACCGTCCCCACTCTGCCCGTAGGAGGTCAACCACTACAAGGGCAAGAACTACCCCATCATGAACCTGCACGAGCGGACCCTGAGCGTGCTGGCATGCCGGGTGAGCCTGACAGCGGGAGGGCCCGGCAGGGACCCCGGACAGCCAGCCCACCATGCTGTGTCCCTGCATCCCCAGCGGCCGCCTCGGCCAGCGCGTGGGGCCATCCCCACCCCCCTTCAGCCTGTGGGGTCCTTGCTAACAGCTATGCCTGTCCCCACAGTATGTGTCGGAGGTGGTGATCGGGGCCCCCTACGCGGTCACCGCAGAACTCCTGGACCACTTCAAGGTGCGGCCCCCAGTGGGGGTCCGAGGAGGGCTGGGCTGGGGCAGGAGCCAGGCAGTGGCTCCGGCTGCCTCCCTGGGGCAGGGGGCCCTGTGGATGGTCCTGGGAGGGCTCCCTGACCCCGGTCTCTCTGCAGGTGGACCTGGTGTGTCACGGGAAGACGGAAATTATGCCTGACAAGGACGGCTCCGACCCGTACCAGGTGGGCATGCAGGCCGGGCCCGTGCTGCTGGGGCTCGGTGGGACCACTGCTCCCCCAGGGCCTCACAGGAGCAAGTGTCCCACCACCCTGGGGCGGCGGGCAGCCTCCCGGGGTCCAGAGGAGGCCCTCATCTCCCCCCCGTCCCCACCTTCAGGAGCCCAAGAAAAGGGGCATCTTCCGTCAGATCGACAGCGGGAGCGACCTCACCACGGACCTCATCGTGCAGCGCATCATCAAGAACAGGTGCGGCCGAGGGCTGGTGGGAAGCGGAACCCGCAGCCTGGGCTCGCACACTCACCCCCGCCCCCGCCCCCGCCCCCAGGCTGGAGTATGAGGCTCGGAACCAGAAGAAAGCGGCCAAGGAGCTGGCCCTCCTGGAGGCCATGAGGCAGCAGGAGGAGCCGCCCGCGCGGGGGGGCCACAGCGCCTGAGGGAGGACGTCTGGAAGCCCGGCTTCCTGCGCCCCCCGCGGCTCACATGGTTCTGAGAGCTGCAGCCCCAGACCAGGCGGCCCTGGAAGGGCTGGAGAGGGCGTTCCTGCCTCCCCCTCCCTGCACGGCGCCCCTTTACAGCAGGCCCTGCACTCCCGCTAGGCTGCACAGAGGGGCCAGCTTTGTGGAGGGCACCTCCCCCCAGGGGCCACCGCCCTGCGTGCCTGAGGAGGCCGCTTCCCTCCGCCTGCTGCACTGCTGGGCCCCCATCGCACCCGCAGGAGGCGCCCAGCTCGGTGAGAGTCCACTTGAGGGACAGTGACCCGAGGGGCCGCGCCTGTCCTCGTGCAGCCAGGCTGCCTCCTGCACGGCGCCTCCGCCTGCACTGTCCTGGTGTCCTGAGCGGCTCCTGGACCCACGCCTGCTCCCAGGCCGCCTTCTGCTCCCCCGACTCCTCCACTTTGTGCATAATTGGCTGATGTGCAACCGAATAAACCTGGTGGGAGGTGCTCTGTGTCAGCTGTTGGCCCTGCTCCCACCACTGCCCACGGAGGGCAGCAGCAGGCAGCCTGGCAGCGAGGGCGCCCCCAGATCCAGGCCCCCTCGGAGGCAGGCAGGAACGAGCAGGAGGGAAGCAGAGCACCCGCAGGTTCCCTTGGGCCCAGAGTCGGTCACCAGGACGGTGAGAGGCCAAGTCCCACGTGCAGGAAGGATGGGGCCGGACCTCAGGGTCTCCTGCCCACCCGCTGGCCCACGGGAGCGGCCTGGCTGCAGGCGCTGACCTGGTCACCTCTGGCAGGGCGAGCAGTGGGTCGGCTGGTTTCTGTCCACAGAGGGGTGTGAAGGCGTATCCTCAGCCACCGCCCCGTCCCTCAGAACACTCGGCCCTTCAGCTTCAGTGGGGGTGCGCCTGTCGTCTGGCCCCCCCTCCCCCCCACCCCCTGCCAGCAGGAGGTGGGCCTGTCTTCTCCTTTCTATTTTATTCTCTCATTTTTTAACAAATCCTAACCTGAGGGTATTTTTTATTGATTTTTAAAGAGGGAGGAGAGAAAACACATTGACGTGAGAAACATCGATGCCTCCCATCCCCACCCCAACCCGGAATCAGCCAGCAACCTTTCCGTGCAGGAGCTTCGCTCCAACCAGCTGAGCCACCAGCCAGGCTCTAGCTCCGAACCCGACAGGAGCTGCAGCCAGGTGACCGCGGTCCACACACACCCCCAGCTGGGCAGGCCCCACCACTGCCCTCCCTCCCCAAGATGGGGGCCTTCCCTGCAGCTCCATCCCCTCTGGGTACCCCAACTTCAGAGCCCCATGATGCCAGATCTCCCCACACGCAGGCCTTTGGGGAACAGGGACCCGCTGAGCAGGGAGACGGGGGAGTGGCCGGTGGGCTCCTGGAGGCTTGAGGAGTAGCCACAGGCCAGCCTGGGACCCAGCCGGGTGCAGAGCCTGGTGGGCCCTGGAGGTCCGCCCCTGGAGACCACCAAGTGCAATGGGAACCTGAGTTCCACCCACGCCTCCCTGAGGCCCAGGGGCCAGTTGCTGGGGGAGCGAGGGGGGGACACCCCTGAGGCAGGTCCAGGCCTCCGGAACCAGGACTCAGGCCCCAGCTCATGCTCCCCTCACGCTCTGAAGGGAACTCAGCCAGCCGGGGGCGGGGTGGGGCCGGAAGCCGCCTGCGGGATCCCCCGCCCCAGGCCCGCAGGCCCTCCAGGTATCGGAGGTGTCCTGCGCAGCCCGCTGCCCCGCGCTGCCCGCCCCTCCCGCGGACCTGCACCGACTCATGGCTCTGAGCGATCGGGGCTCCGAGACCGGGTGACCCAGAGGCTGCCCCTTGGAGGGAGCTTTGCCTGGAGACACCCAGGATCCCAGCAGGAGGCTCGTCTGCGGGCCCTGGAGCTGCTGAGGGGTCTCCCGGGGGCGGGGCTCAGGTCTGACGTGAGCAGTGGGGGCCCCAAGGCACGGCGAGGCTGGGGCTGCCCCTGCGGGCGGTTCTGAGACCTGGGGAGCGGGTCTGGCTTAGGGACTGACCACGGCCCGACCCCCAGCAGCCCCCCCCCACACACACACACACACACGGGAGCGGGCTGGGCTGGTCATTTATTCACTTAACCGCCTACTATGGGCGGGCAGAGCCGGGCGCCATCTCCGGGGGGTCTGGGGGTCCCGCGCTGGGCTCAGGCGCGGCCACAGTCGGCGGCGCGGAGCGACAGGGAGACGTCCGCTCGGCACTGGAAGGTGGCGCCGCCGTCGGGGACGCGTTCGCAGCTCCGCAGGTTCGGGGTGACGTCCTTGATGCAAATGGCCTGCGGGCAGGAGATTGCTGTGGGGGCGCCCTGCGCCCCTCGCCGCCCCCCGCCCCGGCCTCTCCGCGCCCCTCTCCAGGGCCCGCGCCCCCCACCCTCGCCCCCCGCGGCACTCACGGGGCTCCGTGGGCTGGAGCGCAGCTCTGGGAAGGCCGCAGCCCGGCCCTGGGGTCGCGCGCCCACCGGGAGCTGGGAGCGCCGCGCGTACGGGGACCCCCGGAGGCCGGACAGCAGCCCCGCGGCGCGGCCCACCGAGTAGGAGCCGGGCCCCTCCACCTGCTTGTACCAGGCGAGGCCGGGGGGCGCCAGCAGCAGGCACCACGCCAGGGCGGCGGCCGCCAGCGTCACCGGCCGGGCCATGGGGACTGAGCGGAGCGCGTCGGGGCTGGAGCCGCGGCGGCCGGGCGGGCGGGCGCCTTATACCCGCGCGGGGCGGGGCGGGCGGGGCGGGGCGGGGGCGGCGCAGAGGGCCTTTCGGGCCTCGGGCGGTGCGAGTGCAGAGGCGGCCCAGGCTGGAGGCGCTGGGGGGCCGGCGCCCCATCCTCCCGCCCAGACCGACGTCCCCTGTTTCCACTCCTGCCCGCCTCTGCTGGGAGGGGCGCCCAGGCCGCTCCCGCTGCCCATGGTCTGATCTCCAGGGGGGGTCACAGGATAGGGGCGAGGGGGGCTGCGCTGAACCCCCAAGTCATCTGAGGGCGCCCAGCCCTGTCACCGAGTCCCCAGCGCTCAAGAGGCAGGAGAGAGCCACTGACCACACTGCCCAGGACAGTGTCTGAAGGGCAACTGGCCAGAGACCACGCCCCTCTCACACCGCGGGAGGTTCCACCAACAGGGCAGCTCGGGGGGCGGGGGTCCGGGAGGAGGGGCCGCAGAGCGGCCAGGCCCCAGCTCTGGAAACGTCCACGTCCTGGGGTAGGAGACGTCACTGCCCCGCGAGGCTCACGGGCGCACACCTACCAGGTGCCAGCGTCTGGGAGAAGGATTGGACGCAGACCCTGACTGGAGCCACAGCCGGGGACCAGCTGGTGGCAGGGGCAGCAGGATGGCCCCCGGGGGGGCGGGGGGCGGGGGGTGCGGAGTGACCAGGGGCGGTCTGCAGGGCGGGGGTGGCCCCTGCCTCTGGGGGAGGGATGGGGTCCTGGGCCTCCCTCCCAGGAGGAGGCAGTGACTGGACTCTGGTGTGTGCAGGGGCTGGTGGGCAGCTGGGTCCGGCCTGAGGGGACCAAAGGCCTGGGAGAACCAGGCTAAGGAGCCTCAGTGCAGGGAGTGTGGGTGCCCCGACGGGGGGCGAGGGTGGGAAGCCTGGGGGCACAGGAGTGGCTCCCCAGGAAGGCGGAGTCCAGGGGGCAGCCAGGACGGAGGCGGGAAGCCTGGGAGCTGCAGGCCCTCCCGGTGGTGGCCAGGCCCTGCCCCTGAGGTCCTGACTCCCAGATCCAGGCCCACGGCAGGGAGAGGGGAAGCAGGCCTGAGGGGGACCAGGCGGGGCACCAGCTCTGGCCGGACAGCTGACATCCGCCTCAGGCTGTCAGGAGCCCCTCCTCCCACGCCCACTCCCCAGACGTCCCTCACAGGTGTCCCCCCCCCCCCCCATGTGTCCCAGGACAGCAACCACGCGGAGGCCGGCAGCTGGGCTCCGAGTTCAGTGAAGACCATCATCTTAGGGTTCCTTTCCCGTGGGCACATCGGGCAAGAAGTGGGTGCCACACAGGCGACCAGGAGGCCCCCCAAGTAACCTGCCCTGTCTTCTCACCCCCGGGACTGAGGACAGACCAACAGCAGCCATTACCACTAGGCAAGAGGGGCTTCACCTCAGGGACCCAGGGCAGCACCCCGAGGGGCACTGAGAACAAGGGGAGGAGTCGGTGTCAAAGGCTCCCCACAGGCCCTGGGCACCCCAGGCTCCACCAGAAGCCGCTGCCCCCCAGGAGCTGCGCCCCCAGGAGCCTCCCATGGGCTGTTGCCCCCCAGGTGAGAGGCCCTGACCCCTGAGGTCACAGCCTGATGTTGGCCTGGAGGAGGAGGAGGAGGAGGGGGAGACGAGATGGAGACAGACCACCCAGCACCTGCATCGCCCCCACAGCTCGTAACAGCCTCAGCACCTGCTCGGGGACCCCCGGCAGAGGGACCGTGGCAGTGGCCCAACTGCCCAGCCAGGGCCCGCAAACCAGCTCGGCTTCCTCAGTGAGAAGCTGGCTGGTGGGCCTGGGCCTCTGCACCCCGCCTCCTTCGCTTCCCCATTGGCAGGAACAGACCCCAGGGCCTTTGCGCCTCCGGGCCTTCCAGGCGGAGCCCCCTCCTGCCCGGCTCTTCCGGCTGCTGCTGGGCTCCTTTGCCTCCCGGGGAGTGACTGGGCTCAGCGGCACCCAGAGATGTTTTTTTTTTTTTTCCAATTTTTTTTTCTTCTTTATTATTAGTTAAGGTATTACAAATGTGTCCTCATCCCCCCCATTAACCCCCAACCTCCCCCACACACACACTCATGCTACCATCCCCCTGTTGTCCATGTCCATTGGTATGGCTTATATACATGTATACAAGTCCTTCGGTTGATCTCTTCCCCTTACCCCCGCCCTCCCCTACTTTCCTTCTGGGGATTGATAGCCTGATTGCTGTTTCTCAGTCTTTGAGTCTGTCCCTTTTCATCAGTCTATGTTGTTCTCTATAATCCACAAATGAGTGAGATCATGACCCAGTGATCCCACTACTAGGAATATATCCCAAGAAACCAGAAACGCCAATCAGAAAGGATATATGCACCCCTATGTTCATAGCAGCACAATTCACCATAGCTAAGATTTGGAAACAGCCTAAGTGCCCATCAGCAGATGAGTGGATTAGAAAACTGGTACATCTACACAATGGAATACTATGCTGCGGTAAAAAAAAAGGAACTCTTGCCTTTTGCAACAGCATGGATGGAACTGGAGAGCATTATGCTAAGTGAAATAAGCCAGTCAGAGATGTTTATTCATGAGAGTTTTCATATCCACAGGCGTCAAGGCCACGTCAGCGGCCAAGAAAAAACAGGCAAGCAGAGGCCTCCAGCAAGGCTCAGGCAGTTTAATGAGTTTTACTCATTGGATAAAAGTGTCAACTTTGTGACAGAAAACAGCACAGCGCCAGTCCTCAGTCCGCCCCGGGGGGAGGGGGGGGCAGGGGGGGGGCTCCAGCGGCCCTCACTCCTTGAACTTCCACTCCTGGCGGCACATGGGGCAGTGCTGCTGCACCTGCTGCGCGTTCAGCCACTTGAGGATGCAGTGCATGTGGAAGCAGTGGGAGCACTGGCCCCACACCAGCGGGCAGTCGTCGCCGGGCACCTTGCCTGCAGGGACAGAAGAGGTGCGGTCGCACAGGGCACGTGGCAGCAGGCGGGGCCGAGGCCGGGACCCCAGGACGTTAGATGTCGGGGCCCAGGGTGGCCAGGGCCTCTCGGAGAAGGCAATTGCAGGAGTCACCCCAGATTCTGTGGGACGCCACCCCCGTGTGAGCCCCACCCAGTGAGAGCAGCTGGGGGGAGGGGCAGCAGTGGCAGGAAGGGCCCTGGCCTGGCCCACAGCCCCCACCACCCGCCTCCGGCCTGGGCCTATCAGCAGACACTGCAGCCACCTGACCTGCGATGCCAGGGCTGCAATGTGACTGTCTCAGTGCAGCAGGGCTAGTCCTCTTTCTTTTAAAAAAAATGTTTTTTTATTGACTTCAGAGAGGAAGGAAAGGAGAGAGAGACATCAATGATGAGACAGAATCACTGATCGCTGCCTCCTGCAGGCCCCACACTGGGGATCGAGCCTGCAACCTGGGCCTGTGCCCCGACTGCTAATCAAACCAAGACCTCCTGGTTCATAGGTCGAGGTTCAATCACTGAGCCACGCCGGCCAGGCAACCTTTTAAAACATATTTTCTCTAACAGAAATGTCACTTGCTTTCTGAAGCGTTTATGACATAACCAGAAAACTATACACTTAGAAAATACAAAATTATAGACCTCACTCCCCTGCCTGTGCCAGGAGCCCACACCATGTGACACCCCCACGCCCAGGGCCTTTACAGCCTTAGCAAAACTCCGCTTGGAATCACCCTATCAAATCAGGTCCCTTACAAACAGGAAGGCGAGGGGAGCAGGAGCAGCCAGCCCACAGCCGGGGTCCCGCGAGCCCACCGACAGGGCACCAGGCCGCCCTGAGCCCTGCCTGCTGGGACAGGGGTGACTCACGGGCCTGCCAGTGTCCGGATGGAAGTCCCTTCAGTTAGAACTCGGCTCACCGAGACTTTCACTCCAGAGCCTGCTGGGCCGTGGAGCATGGAGCAGCCTTACTACAGCCGCGGGCCCTCTGGGTTTGCCCAAGGACGCTCACTTGGCAAGAGAAGCCAGTGCCACTTAGTCTGCACAGCAAGCACCTGAGCTTGTCAAACACCTTGCACATCACAACTGGCTCCCTCAACCACCACCAGCAGGTCCACAGATCAGACTCTAAACCCACCACTCTCCGCAGCTGGCAGGGCCGGCACACGAGGACACCCAGCCACGGGCCCAGCTGGGCTGTGCAGGCCCCTGGTGCCATCTTGAACACAGGCTCACCCACCCACACCCATCACCCCAGGGCACTTGGAGACTTTTTTCTTTTCAGAAGGTACAATCTGTTGCTTAGGAAGTTGTAAGAACGCCCCCCCTCAGGCTCCCTGGCCTCCGTGTACCCTTGGGAAACAATTTAAAATAGGTTAAAAGAAGCAGATCAAGCAGAGCCAATCAATGGCTACCTCAGGCCCCGCCCACCGGTGGGACTGGATCAGGATGGGTTAGCTCCAGGTGATGAGATTAAGCCTAGAATTCCAGGACGTCCGCATTTCACGCAAGAAGCAAAGCCCGGTCCCGCCCTGGCCTGTTTGGCTCAGTGGATAGAGGGTGGGCCTGGGGGCTGGGGGGTCCCGGGTTCGATTCCGGTAAAGGGCATGTACCTTGCTTATGGGCACATCCCCAGTGGGAGGTGTGTAGGAGGCAGCTGATGTTTCTCTCTCATCGATGTTTCTGGCTCTCCCTCTCCCTTCCTCTCTGTAAAAAAATCAATAAAAATATATTTTAAAAAAAGAAGCAGCAGCAAAGCCCTGTCGCTATTCTGGGCACTCAGCCCACAAACAAGGCCTGGTCATCACAGGGCAGTGGGGAGCCTCAGTCCCCACTTTTCCTTCGCCACCCCCCCTCGCCCCGCCCCCACCGAGTCCTCCCCTTGCTTCTGCTGTGTTCCCTCGGGTCTGACGAAAAACTCAACCCCCTGCAGCAAACGTCTGCTTCTGACCTAAACAGACAGCAAAATATTTCTACTTTGCAGAACAGGCCCGGGACAAAGGCACCACAAAGGAGAAATCCAGTGAAACCCGATGGTCCGCAAGATCTCACACACAGACACACACAGAGATACAGACACGTACACAGATACACACACACAGACACACACACAGATACAGACACGTACACAGATACACACACACAGACACACACAGACACACACAGATACTGACAAACACACAGATACAGGCATCAGCTTCCTAAAGGGGGCGGGGCCTGAGAGAGAGGCGGGGGGAGGGGGAGGAGGGCTGCTAAGATCAAGCAGCTAAAAACCCCCAAAAAGATCAAACAGGTGACGGGCAGGGCCAGCAGCCCCGCTCGGCCGCCAGGAATAGGGCGCCCGGGCGCCGGGGACGGGAGCGGGAACGGGGAGCGACGGCGGAAAGTCCGCCGGTTAGAGACGCGGGGTAGGCGAGGGCGCGGGGCCGGTTCCCGGTGACTTTCCAGCTCCCCCCGCCGCTCCTCCGGCGCCTCCCGTCCCGATGGGCGCGTCTCCTCACGAAACTCCTTTTGGTCCCGTTATTTCCCAATTAGGTCCACCCCTCTCCCGGCCCCACGCGAGTCCCAGCCCAGCGCGGCCCCTGACGGCGTCTGGATCCACGTTCGGACCCAACCTCCTCCCTTTCTCCCGCCAACTCCTCTCGAGGGGAGGGAGCCCGGACCCAGGCCCTCGGCGCCGGTGCTTCCGGGGAGACGCGGGGCGTGTGCGGGGCGCGGGGCGCTCACAGTCCGGGCAGCAGCCGTTGAAGGCCATCCGGCAGATGCCGCAGTTCTCGTCGTTGGCCACCCAGAGCCAAGTGGCCACGCCGTTCCAGCACTTAATCTTCACCCTCATGGCGGCGGGGCCTGCGGGCGAGGACGAGACCGCTGCGGCCGAGGCTGCGGGGCGGGGACGCCGGGGCCGGGGGCGCCGAGGGACCCGGGCGCCGCAGAGCTCGGCGCGCACTCGGACCCCAGCAGCGGCCGTCGGAGCCCAAACGAACGGAAGACCCACCCCTTCCCGCAGGGAGTTCACCCGGGAAACAGGCCGAGGGCGGGGTCGCCCGGGAGGAAGCCCCGCCCGCCCGCCCGCCCGCCCGCCCCGGCGTATTTAGCCGCGCGCGGCGCCGCCTGCCTACAGTTGCAGCCCCAGCGCCGCGCGGGAGGGTCCGAAACGACCGCGACCGCAGCCGGCACCTCGCCGCGCCGCCCGCCCAGCCCCGACCCCAGCGCGCACGCGCCGCGCCCGCATCCAATCGCCGGCCGCGCCGGGGACGCCGCGCCGGAAGTGACGGGCCGGCGTGCTGACGCGCGGGCTCAAGCCGAGGCCGATTCCGCGCCCGCCATGGCCGACAAAATCAACATGTCTCTGGACGACATCATTAGGCTGAACCAGAGCCAGCGGGGCGGCCGCGGCGGGGGCAGGGATCTAGGCCGGGACGGAGGCCGGGCCGGCTTCCAGGGAGGCCGCATTGGCGGAGCGCAGGCCACAGCTCCCGTGAGCGGGGGCTGCGGGCCCATCCGGAACCGGGCGGCCCTCGTCCGCGGCGCGGCGGGTGGCCGAGGCAGGAACCGGCCGGCGCCCTACAGCCGAGTGAGTGCGGCGGCCCGCGGCGGGGCGGTGGCGAGCGGGGCGGCGCGGGGCGGGGCGGGCGGGGGGCGGGGGCGGGCCGGTGGGCGCGGGCGCCGGGCCGGCGGGAAGGTCGCGCGCGGGCCGGGCCCGGGAGGCGGGGACCCTCCGCCTTTGTCTGGGCTGGGCCGCCGGCCTCATGGCGGGGGCTCGCGGGGGCGCTGGGCGCGGCCGCCGCGGCGGCGGGAAGTTAGTCGAAGGGACGGAAAATTGCGGGCCGGGCGGGGCGGGCGCCGGGCCCCCCTCGCACCTTCCTCGGGGCCCCGGCGGGGAGGGTCCTGCGGCGGGGCTCACGCTTCTCAATTTCCGTGTTTTTCCCCTTTTCAGCCGAAACAGCTTCCCGACAAGTGGCAACACGACCTTTTCGACAGCGGCTTCGGCAGGGGCGCCGGCGTGGAGACGGGGGGGAAGCTGCTGGTGTCCAACCTGGACTTCGGAGTGTCCGACGCGGACATCCAGGTGAGCGAGCGGCGTCGCGGTCAGCAGCCCCCGTTCTGTCTCGGGAGGTGCCCCCCTGCGGGGCTGCGGGCTGCGGTGCAGAGGTCGTGCAGGAGCTGAGCCTCCGACAGGCGGGCGGGCCCGACTCCAGCCGCGTTGCGTGGAGCGAGGCCGCTTGCTCGCTGTACTCGTCCGTCTCCGCGGTCTGCGGAGGCGGGATGGCGCGTGTCCCTGGTGTTGGCCTGAGCCCTGTGTCTCTACCTGTTGTCTCCCTTCCCACCACCCTCCAGTCTCGCCCGCATTTCAGACCCCCTTTGGTCGAAGCCTCTTGGTTTGTTATCGTTTTCAGTTACTATTATGGGTTGAGTCCCACGGGGATGTAAACTTGTCCTGTGGCTCAGTGATGGCACTGCGGGGGTCAGGCGTAGAGATGGCCGGGTCAGGGTGCTGGGCCGTCCTGGGCTCCGTGTCCCCGAGCTCAGCTGTGGGAGGACAGAGCGAGGCCGGTGAGCACTCACAGTGTCTCAACACTCTTTTCAAGGTGGTTTCTGGCATCCACTGGAAACCGCTTTTGGTGACCTCCTCTTCCCGCTGTGCCTGCGGCCGGAGTAGCCCCACACCCTGGGTTCCCTCTCCAACTCCCAGCCTGCCTGAGGCCAGGGCAGTTCCCATGGCAGCGCTTGACTTGAGACTTTGCGGCAGGCTTGAGTAGGAGGAGAGGGAAAGGTGAGCCAGAACCTGCCCCGGGGGGCTGGGCAGGACTCCCAAACCAGGGGCCCTGGAGCTGGGGCACATGGCAGGTGGTGTCCCTGGCTCTGTGATCTCGGCCTTTGCTGATGGTTGGCACTGTTCTCGGGTGTGTTGTCAACTCCTTTGTCAAAGAAGACAGCGACTTCATGGGTGCCCCTCACGGGGGCTTGTGGTAGATGTCAGGCCCCCAGGCTGGCAGGAGCCCTCAGGCCCAGCTGTTCCTGGAAGTTGCTGTCTCGCCTGCCCCGTCCTTCCCCACCTCCCACTCCCACTGTCCTGCCCCCACCTGTATGTCTGCCACCCAGGGAAGTGCCCTCAAAGTAGCTGACATTCCCGGGGCTGTCCCCCAGCCGCCGGAGGGGACAAGTGTGGCTGATGATGCTCTTCCTGACTCCAGGAGCTGTTTGCGGAGTTCGGGACTCTGAAGAAGGCCGCCGTGCACTACGACCGCTCTGGCCGCAGCCTGGGAACAGCCGACGTGCACTTTGAGCGGAAGGCAGACGCCCTGAAAGCCATGAAACAGTACAACGGCGTCCCTTTGGATGGTGCGTTTGGGGTTGGACCCAGGGAGCTGAGGGCTGGCACCTGTATGCTTACACCCTCCCCCTCCCCGTTGACACTTTGCCGTCACCTCCTTGTCTCCCATTCTGCCACTCTCTGCTGCCCCCACATCTGGACCCACCTCTTGTGATCCCCATCCAGCAAGCTACTTTCCTCCCCTTCAGCTCCTGCCTTCCCGAAGCCTCGCCTTCCAGAAGCACCATAGTGCTTGCTCTGCGGGTGGGCTGAGGGTGTCAGGGGCCCCCACCTTTCCACCTGTGAGCGACGCCCGCCCTAGCCGGGCTGAGCAGTGAGGCTTTGGCAGGCTATCCTCGGTGCTGCTGCTCCTCCCAGTGGGTCCAGGCTGTTTGTCTTGGTGGGAGCGTTGGGGTCGCCCAGTGGGTTTCAGGCTCCGATGGGAGTGTGCCCTTTTGTGTTCCCGCCACAGGCCGCCCCATGAACATCCAGCTGGTCACCTCACAGATAGACACGCAGCGCAGGCCGGTACAGAGTGTGAACAGAGGCGGGATGACCAGAACCCGAGGGTCTGGAGGCTTCGGCGGCGGCACTCGGAGAGGCGCCCGTGGAGGCAGCCGGGGCAGAGGCAGGGGCACCGGCCGGAGTTCAAAGCAGCAGATCTCTGCGGAGGAGCTGGATGCCCAGCTGGACGCTTACAACGCGAGGGTGAGTCCCGGGCCGGGGGCCTGGGGGCTGGCCTAGCATGAGGGTGGGGAGCCCCCTCTTTTTTGGGGGTGGGACCTTCTCTGACCTCTTTTTTCTCCTGTTTCAGATGGACACCAGCTAAAGCACCAGCAAGTCAGTCAGTGCTTGCGTGGAGCTGGGCGCCTGGACGTTGTCTCGCGCTGCTTCCCGAGGGCGGGCTGGAGGGGACCTGTGGCCAATTGTGGAGTTGTTTCTTCTGTTTTAAAATAGGATTTAGAACTCATGTAAAGATTTTTCTTTAACTTTTATTTCATTAAAAAATTCTGAAAAAGACCTGTTTTGTACCTAGTCATATTGGGGATAAATTTTACTGGTTGCTGTTGTGGAGGAGGTGGCGTTTTCACCTTGGCCATAATAAACAGAAACGTGTGTAGAACCGGAGCTCTCGTTCATCGTCGGAGCCCTCGCCTGGGCCACACTTGGTGCTGACGGGGAGGGAGGGAGGGAGGGAGGGAGGGAGGGAGGGACCCGGGGCAGGTGGGGAGCAGCCGAGCTGGCATCTGGTGTCCTGGCAGGCTGGTGCTGGTGCTGGGGAGGTGGTGGCTGCCTCTGACGTTCCAGGGTTCCTGGCGCTCCCGCTGACCTGGGCGGTAGGGGAACGCGGGGCAGTGGTCCCTGCTCCTGTGGCCTCTTGTCACCTGCCTGCTGCATGAGGTGGGGTGGCCACCTGTGCTGCTGCCAGATTGCAGGTGGCTGCTCGCTTGTCCCCTTCCTCCGCTGCTCAGGAGCCTGGCGTTGGCAGCTCTGACTGCCACGTCCTCCCTTCCTAGTGTCCTTCCTGTTGGCCAGGGTGGAGCAGGGCATGGGGGTCCTCTGCCTGCGCTGATGGTGCTGGTGGAGACTGGCAAGTGTGACCTGCAGAGCCAGGAGCCGGCAGACACACATGCCCCTCTCACCACCCTCCAACAGGACAGAGCGGGCTGAGAGCACAGTGGATGCAGGTCAGGGGGACCCCAAGCATGCTCGGCAGGCCCCTCCTGGAGGCAGCCTGCAGTTCAGGCTGCTCCCAGTCCCCATGGGGCCACAGTGTGACTAAGGGTGGCCCTGTCACTGTCAGCTCCAGTGCTGTCCCTACAGAGCCAGCGGCTGCCACGCCGCAGCCTGTGTTATGCTGGGCACTGAAGGGCCCGGGGAACAGCCGAGCCTGGCTTGAGCTGCTGTGGCCCAAGGGGTGGATGTAACAGAGGTCGGGTCATCCAGGCAGAGGCGGGCACAGGCCAGGTAGGAGGCTGTGCTGGGAGTGTTGACAGGAGAGGTGGGGTCATCTTGCTCCCTGCTGTCCAGAAGCTAAAGTCAGCACCTGATGGAGGGGTGAGGTCCCCCAGGCCAGAGGCCATAAGTGCTGCAAGTGCCCGCCACTGGGGTGGGGAGCTGGGGTGGTTCCTCAGGCCCTGGGGGAGCAGGGCTAGGCCCCATCTTCAGGTGCTGGGAAACAACTGGGAACAAGAACTGCCAGACAGTGGGAGGCTGTGGACATTTGGAGGGAAGCTTTACAGGCAGCGGAAAGGCCCTGAGGTGAGGACACTGGAAGCTGGGACAAGCCGGGCCCTGGTGTGGCTGGTTGGAGGGGCTGGTGTCGAAGGAAGGGGCCTGGTACAGGCTGCGGCCAGCTTTCGGGGCCTCCCAAGGGTGGCATCCATAGACGGTGCCCCAAAGTAGATGTGGAGTGGGCTTTCAATGCATAGAATGTGGAATGCTTGTTTTAGAAAAAGATTCTCAATTGAAAGAAAACATTGTGGGGGGAGGGGACTGGTGGAGGGAGGGGGCACATATGTAATACTTGCAACAATAAGATTTAAAAAAATAAAACATTCAATGGGCACAAAAGGCTGATAATACACACAATCGTTTTCCCAGCACTAGTTGGGTGAAATCCTCGTTCCTACAGGCTTTTGAAACGAGAGCTTTGATAAGGTAGTGTGGTCATGCCATTATGTCTTCCCTCTGTACATCTCAGTGATGTTACTGTATTCAGTCACACACCCACCACCACATTCCAATTCCAGAATCTTCTCATCACCGCTCAGCCCCTTCCCCTCTCCCCAGGTGGGCACTGGGCTGCTCAGCCTCTGGGTTTCCCTGTTCTGGGCATTTCATACATGGGAATTGTTCGCCGTGGGACCTTTTCATCTGGCTTTAAGTTCGCGCACCACACTAGCCACCTGACCTGACCCCCGGCCAGGGCTCCTAAGGATTTCTGGGTTTGTCCGCTTTATAGCATGAATCAATACCTCAGTCCTTTTGCCGAATCCCCTGTGATGGATGCCTCACGTTTTGTTTCTCCACTCGTCAGCTGCTGGACGTTTGGGGTGCTTCCACTTTTTGGTTATTGGAATAATGCTGCTATGAGCATTATTCACACATTTTTATGTTACGGAATTAAAGATGGCTATATTTTTCATAAATGTTTACATGGTTTACTTTAATGAGCTGTTATTATTAACAAGTCACCCTGGGATCAACTGACTATTTGGGGGGGGGGGAATAGCAATAAATATGCATCATTAAAGATTTTCATATAAAAAGAAAACCAGAAGGTAATCTCGTTAATTTTAAATACATCAACTTGTAGGTGATCATTTAGCCCAGCTAGGACAGAGTTAATTTTTGTTATGTATGCAGGTTGCAGAAACAGTTGTAAAATGTTTTAGCAGAATAGTAAATTAATATCTAATAAAAATTAAGCATACCAGTTTTTAAAGGTACAAATCCATCATAAAGACACCATTCAAGTTACCGTTAATGTGTTAATATTATCTTTTTTTGTCCTTGTTGAATAAACACTCAAGATTTCATAACAACAGTAAAGAACATCCAATGTTCACCTCTGGAGGGCTCTTGGGCACGAATTCATTCTAAATACTGACAAATAACAGAATGTCAAACATTTATCTGGTTTTATTTTTCTCAACTGTATTTTGAAGGGATTAAAAACTGATGAAGTTTTTTAAAATAAAAGAATTCCAGCCCTAGCTGGTTTGACTCTGGATAGAGCATCAGCCTGCAGACCGAAGGGTCCTGAGTTTGATTCTGGTCAAGAGCACATGCCCAGATTTCAGGCTTGATCCCAAAAAGGGCATCTCTCTCATCACTGGTGTTTCTGTCTCTCCCTCTCCCTTCCTCCCTAAAATCAATAAAAATATTAAAAAAAAATTCCTGTTAAGAAATGCCAGTGGATTAGAAAATAACCATTTTTCGATGCGTAATTGTGCTGCGCCAGCACGGTCAAGGGTGAACCTGAGGAGGGGCGGTGAAGGATTGAAGAAAAGGCAGACAAGAGAATACAGCTGGGGCTTGGTGGATCTCCCGTGCTTGGATGAGGACACAAAAGACCCAGCCTGCAAGCGGTGCTTTATTTTGTAGTCTGATTAAAACAAGATGAACATGTATACAAATGTTGTTTTCACAACACTTGCTGCACCTCCCACAGCCCATTAGCTACTTAGGAAGGAATTAGGGAGGGCTACAAGGTCAGGCTTAATTGTGCTAGGAGGGCTCTGCCCTCCAGGCTGGGACTTGTTTGTGGCCCTGCCACAGGTCGGCCTGAAGCTTGACCCTAGAGCCACTCCCTACACCTAATAAAATAATGCCTGTTGAAAACAATACCCATGGCCTCTGATGCCATGGGCTTGAGAGGCTGCTGGCCGGCCGGAGCCCACGGCACCTTTGAAAGTTTACTGGGGGCTTCTCCAGCCTGAGCTATGAGGGGACAGGAGCACCCACAGCACAGAGGAGGACTGGGTCAGGCAAACCCAGAAGTGCCTGGGAAATGCTCAGCCACCCATATCCTGGTTTCCTCCGAACCTGAGGGCCACAGCACAGAAGAGCGACTGTGGGGTAGCCATAAAGATTTGGTCTTTGTCCCCGGTTCCCGGCACAGCTCCAACAGCCCTTGGGATCTCCTGGTAGGAGTGTCTCTTTATTCAGAGCTGATCCCTTTCACACTCGGGTTTACGGTGATGCGATGGCTCTGGGTGGGCTCCTGGATAGTGTGAGGACGGCTGCTGGTACCCTGACCTCTGGGAAGGGGCCAAGGCTAGCGAGTGAGCCAATCACCAAGGACTGATGATTTAATCAACCTTGCCTTTTGATGAAGATTCCATAAAAGCCCCTAAACCATGGGTTTGAAGAGGTTCCAGGTCAGTGAACACAAGAGGAGGTGCTGGGAGGGTAGTGGGCCCAAAGAGGGCATGAAGCCCCAATACACCCTCCCTTCCTTCCCTTGTGCATTTCTTTAAAAAAATATATATATATGTATATATTTAAATTGATTCCAGAGAGGAAGATAGACAGAAACATCTATACTAATGAAAGGGTACTATGCTAATTAGATAAGATGTCTTCCAGACGTCCTTCTGGACAAAGCTGCAGTGGCTGCTGCTGCCAGGGCCGGGCTAAGGCTCAGGCAAGCCGTGGTGGCTGGCAGTGTAATGGGGGCATTGCCTTCCCCTGATCAGCCAGGTCACCTCCCGCAGAGAGAGGCCAGACTGCAGCTTAGGATATCCCCTGAGGGCTCCTGGACTGTGAGAGGGAGTAGGCCAGGCTGAGGGACTCCCCCCCCCCCATCACTGTGCACAAATTTTCATGCACCAGGCCTCTAGTCCTATATAATAAAAGGCTAATATGCAAATTGACTGAATGGCAGAACCCGTGCTATGACATGCACTGACCACCAAGGGGCAGGCGCTCAACGTAGGAGCTGCCCCCTGGTGGTCAGTGAACTACCACAGGGGGAGCGCTGCTCAGCCAGAAACTGGGCTCATGGATGGTGAACGCAGCAGCGATGGCGAGAGACTCTCCTGCCTCCATGGCAGCGCTAAGGACCCCTTGGGAGATGTCCTACTGCCGGGAGCGGGCCTAAGTTGGCAGGCGGAAATCCCCTGAGGAATCCCGGACTGTGAGGGGGGACAGGCCAGGCTGAGGGAAACCCCCCTCCAGTGCACCAGGCCTCTAGTCAACAATAATAATCAACGGGCTGCCTCCTGCATGCCTCCTACTGGGGATGAGCCTGCAACTTGGGGAAGGGGCCTTGTGCACTGAGCCACACCAGCTGGGCGCCCTGTGCATTTCTTGCAAGTTGTGACCTTTATAATCGACCA